GTCAATAATAACATGATGGATACTGTATCGTACTGTACTGTTCGGTTCGGCCTCTCGCGCTGAACTGAACTCCTTCAAGATCCAGTCCGCGTATACGGATAAGCTATGACCAGCATAGATAGCTTCCCCCTTGGGAACTTGAACGGTTTAGCGAAAACGAAGACTCTTCTCATTAGTCAATTTCTGTTAAGTGTGTAGGTGTGGAGATCCCGCTGGTGACCAGCTTGGAGCTCTAAAGGTTCAACTTCAACAGGCAAAAAACATCTGCGTAATAGACCTCTTTTCTCATGCCGACTGCAATAGTACAGTGGTCATGGACGTTGGAGCCAGTTCTAAAGGTTGGGACTTATGAACCATGTTATCACCATCTAATGAGCAGGGTATCTTCGTATACCTTGAGCCTGTTACCACGGATGTCGGCATGTATGTAATGTCGAATGTCCATCCACCAAAAACATGCGACTATACTGGTTAAATCTGACAACAACATAGCAGTGGCTGTTACTGTACGGGGGACGTTTTACATGTTTCACTTACCAACTCAGGCTTAAGTTTTCCAGGTGGTGACTCAACATAACCTTTTTCGTCATGCATAATAAAAGTCACTCGTTAATGAGTCTGGTGACCGACCACCCGTCGAGGTTAACCTTTGAGATACAGCCATGACGAAGAGTTCCTGATTTGATCGTTTCCCCCCCAAGGCTATCGGTACATCCCCCGCTCTCACATCTGCCAACAGCTGAACTACTGCATGCTATTGCATCGTGTAAGCGAGAATGAAATGCAATGTCCAATAGCATCATTGAAGAATCACTTTTCTGGGCTTGAAAGCTCGGCTCCGATTCGGCCACAGTCAAGTCAAAACAAACCGGACTTAGCGGCAGGGACTTAAGCCTAAGATTCCTGCTGACATAATACAAACCGATCGCAATGTCGGCCCCACACTCCAACTCCGTTCCGACGGGATGTGGAAAGAAATTCAAGCAAAGAATCTAGAGCTAGAACAGCCCGAACTACAAGGCTGAGATTCGTCATCCAGGATTATTCAGTTCTGATTTTTGTAAATAATCAAGCTGACGACTGACGTGTAGTGCTTATCCAAGCACTGTATCCTCCTCCGCGCGGAGTCCGAGAGAAAAGAAAGAGAAAAAGGTCAATTCGTCATCTAATCCCGAGAGCAATGGCCGTCGACGATATCCCCTCCGTTGCCTTGCCTGGCAAGGTCTTGGGCCCGGTTACCAAGTTTGCGCCCGGCGCCGGTACACACGTTTACGAAGGAAATGTTGTCTCTTCTCTACTAGGCCAAGTCACTGTGACGCCTGCGGCCAAGGGCCCAGGACCTCAGAAGCGCCTGAACAAGATCACCGCCCCTACGTCAGAAGAGCTTGCCACCGTCTCTGTATCCCGCCATGGTCGTAAGCGCGAGATTCTCCCCGATGTCGATAACATTGTCCTTGCGCGTGTACTCCGCCTTATGCCCAAGCAGGCCATTGTGGTGATCCAGCAAGTGGGCGACACTGTTCTCCAAACCGAATGGCAGGGTGTGATTCGAGTGCAGGATGTGAGGGCAACAGAGAAGGACAAGGTCAAGATTTACGAATCTTTCAAACCTGGTGATATTGTACGAGCGCAAGTGGTACGTTGTTCGTATTCTGCTGTGCCACCGCCAATGCTAACAATGTGCTAGATCTCTCTTGGTGACCAGGCCAACTACTACCTCTCAACGGCATCCAACGAATTGGGTGTTATCCTGGCCACGAGCGAGGCGGGCAACGACATGGTCCCTATCAGCTGGAAAGAATACAAAGACCCCGAAACAGGCATCAGTGAGCCTCGAAAAGTCGCAAAGCCTAGCTGAGCTTGTTGCTTTGTTAGAATACCGCCTTCCCTTGTGTTGGAATGCAACAAGGGCACGCGACCTCGCCTGTTTCACAATATAACTGGGCATGCTTGCTCACGACGAAGCAATTATACCCCACATGATCGATTTGCTACTGTAGGGAACAAGGCGTCATGATGTTGATATAGCCACAAAGTTCTAATCGTGTTCCTTGGTCGTCTCGCGGCGTGACACTCCCACCAGGAACGCCCAAAAATGCTACAATCCGCCTGGCTGGGTCGCTCAACTCCGATACACTAAATCGGGTATGGGATAATCTAGGAATTCCACGGATGAGAGTTAAGCCCAAGGACCGCCTCATTGAAAGTCGGAATGCGCTAGAATCAACTTAGAAGCCCAAAGTAAGCTTAATAACATCAAAATTCAAGGAGTGTTTTTGATATATTGCATTTGATGTAACCTGCCTGACGTGAGAGTTGCATCGATCTGATTCACTTCAGCAGGGAGCTGTTACAAGATATATGTTCTAGGAGTAGTCAATGTTTCTCGTTAACCCTTTGGACATGACTCCTCCTGAGCTTTGCTGCTGAAACGACTGAGAATAAAGAACAGCCAGCCCCCTGTCCCCCATGCATGATACAACAAGGCGGATAGAGTCAATGCATCTGACATCAAAAGAATTACACACGTACCAATGTCTGGCAAGAAACATCATTGGTTTCCAACTCTATAGTCCCCTGCCACTGAATGGACCCTGATCAACCAGGAACGCGCCACTGAGAAGGCCTGCTCAGCCGCCGAAGCGCCTCCCCACCATCGCACGCAGGCGTCAAAGCCACTGCCCGCATTCGTTCAGCGACAAAAATAGGGACACTTGGACCGGCCACCCTTGTTATTATCCATGGATCGGGAACCTTTTTTCTTTGAAACAGCTCAACTAGGTTGGGTTTATATTTCATCCCTTGGTCGTCGTGAAATTTGCTACTACGTCTACATACAACTCTGAAAAATAAGTCTTTCATTTTTTTTACCCAACCTGTATAGGCAACTACCTACAAACGATCTATACACTTGACCTGATCACAAGACCTGTCGCTATCTCTGTTCGACCCGAAGCGCTTACATCCGTACATCCCGTCTTCTATGCGCCGGCCATGTCAGCAACAATGGTCATGACAATGGCACCGCCGACTCTCTCTGCCGATTCCACGCCGTGCTGCCCAGGATGCGGCTACTCCTTACCTCTCGATCACAGTCAAGTTCAACTGCTAGAAGCACAAGCCCGTATCGAAGACCTCGAAAACCAGGTCCGACTACTCAACGAAAAGGCTACAGCCGCCGTGGATCGATGGGCCGACTACGAAGACGAAATCTCTATTCTAAGGGCCCAGCTTCCTTCTTCGACAACAACACAAAAACCTCAACCCCCAGCAACTCCTACAAATGCTCGCATGTCATTTCTTCAGAGCGGCACCAGCCGGCTCTCCTCGTTCCTCTCACCACGCAAACCTCACGACCTTCCTCACATCGACACCAACCCCAACCCCAACCCCTCTCGACCTGCCAACCGACGTTCTCTAAGCAGCCAGTCGCACCGCCTACAGCATCAGGTGCAAAACCAAGCTCCACCGTCGCCCTCGGCTGAAGACCTTCTCGAGGCTCTGAACAGAGAACAGTCCCTTCGAAAGGAAGCCGAGGGCAAAGTGGCAGCTACAAGCCAGGAGGTCGAAGAACTCAGCGCTGCTCTTTTTGAGGAAGCGAATAAAATGGTCGCTGAAGAAAGACGAGCACGCGCTAAGCTGGAACAACGGGTAGATGAGCTGGAGCGACGAGACATGGAGAAGCGAAGACGGTTAGAGAAATTGGAAGGGGCCATGTCTCGGATCGAGCGGGTGAGATTGATGTTGGCTGAGGCAGAAGAAGATGTCGAGTCAAGCAAGAAAACAGTCAAAGAGATCGAGGCACTGGAGAGACAACAAGAAGAAGAGGAACGAAAGGAGAGAGAGCGATCAAGGATGAAAATATCAGAGCACAACGACCACGACTCAGTCTACAGCGTGTCTGCCGATGAGAATTCAGAAAGACGATCCACTGATAAGCCCAACAGACGGGAGCAATCAGACGACGATACAACAGGGAAATAAAAGGACTTTTGCACAGCTGGATCAATCATTCGTCTTTCTTTCTATTATTAATATCATACAGGCAACTCATAGATCTAAAGGTACAAACGCATAATGAAGTCGCTGCATACTTGTTTGGGCTAGTTGATATAGGGCGTGGAGTTTGGTCGTGTCGGAAATTGGGCATAATGCATGGTGCAATGGCGTTGGTGTTACGAGGAGGAAATCAAAAGGGAGCAATCATTCGCCTATAGCCCATCAAGGGGCGAACTATTTGTTTTTACACACAACCTACTGGAATATTGTCACGTACATTGATAAATGTGGCTAGACACAAAGAGGTTTCACTTCCATATTGGTAGCCACACAAGTGATTCTGCCATGACTTCGTCTCACCTGGTCTATTTTTACATCCTCTGTGACGCATGTACAAGGGCGACCGTTACGCCTGGTCATGTCACGGTTGCACTAGCATTTGTAATTGCAACAATGTCGCTAATACAATTGCTGTACATGAGTATCGTGATCGGCTGGCGTCGTATGGTCATGTCAGTCACGCGACCGCTTTGACCTTGGATGATTAGATAGACAATGAATTTGTCCTGTGGTTAAACTATGTACAGATGAAGCTAGAAAGTAACCCCTGAATATGAACCAAAACCTTAAAACTCCATCTGGCTGTCCTGATATAATCGATCCGATCTTTAAATACGTAAACGAACGTCGCCGAGTAGGGGTATTATTAACCATGCCTTCAACTGTCTATCCAAGTTGTATATGAACAAGACAAGTCGAACCCACTCGTAGCTGAAGTCAAACGTCTTGATGAAAGCTGTGTAGAGCAAAATATTACATGAATCATGTTATGAAATGATATCGGGTTATCCAGAAGCCATGCCCCAATGATAAAGACCTCTTCTCCTGACGCCACTGTTGAAAATGAATCAGATGCCACTTCCCATGTCTAAGGACATATCGCTAATGTGTCGCTCATATGTCTTCTTCTACATTAATGAAACAAATCGGCCGGCGTTGATCTAAACCCGATTATGTGCACCGGGAGAGCCACTGCCATGCGATGAGCGCCTAGCAGCTGCGCCAGGCATATGAGGAGGCGGCAGACTTGAAGGATCATCGGCGAGAAGATCTTCGAGGAAAGCGCTAGGGGCACGCTGACTTGGTGGTCGGTTCAGATTGAGAGTCGAGTTGCTGATGTCTCTTCGGGCTTGGAATGATGGTGAGTCGGGGGGACTGGGCCTCGTAGGAGTACCAAAGTAGCCTCGAGAATCAGGACGCAGGTTGGTCATGCTGATGCTGTGATCGTGCTGGCCACCAGGAGAGCTAGTGCCGGCGGCATAAAAACCAGAAGGCAAGAAAGCAGAGCTACGATTACCCGGCCCATTGTTCGACGCCGCAGCTGTCGGGGAGAAGAACAAGTTAGAGGCACTGGGGGCCGATGAGAGAACAGGTCCTCTATTAGTTCGTCGTACGCCACGTCCAGCCGAGAGCGACATAGTAGAGCCGGTATCGGTATACTTGTAAAAAGGCGCAGGAGGTGCAGGAAAAGCTGTCTTTGCGGTTTCATCGTGCTGAGCTTTGGCAGCTCGGTCCACCGATCGATGTAGAAGGATGCCAACGATAAGACGCCAAAGAAGAATGCCAAGGCCAAGCGCACCCAGAATCGCCCCGACGGCGATGAAGACAGTCCCGTCAGGGGCACTTGAGTGTCGCATGAAAGGTGCGTTATTTGTGGGTGGAACGGAAGGAGCTGGATAAGTGGGAATTGGCTTGTACCTTGTCAAAGTAGGCATGGCTTCTTCGGTACCAGTCTCAGCAATAGCCGTGATTTTAGATTGAATATCTTCGGTTTTTGTCGGACCCTCTCCTGTTACAGTGGTGGCCGAATCTTCCTCCTCAGTGGATGCAGGTTCATCGTCCTTCTCCTCTGTTTTCGAGGGTGCTTCATCCTTTGTTTCTTGAGTTGATGCAGGCTTTGCGCTGTCTTTTGTTTCGCTGGCAGGCTCGGGCTTCTTTTCGTCACTTGCCTCTTTGGCAGACTCGGCAGCATCACCGTTCTTCGCATCGGTTGGTTCAGCAGCGGGGGCCGGCACAGCAGAGGGGTCGTTGTTCTTAGCATCGTCTTTATTGTCGTCCTTGTTGTCTTGGGCCATCGCGACAGCACCGTAGATTGAGATCGAGGCAAAGGCCGAAACCAAAAGGTTTGGTCTCGGTAGGTAGTTGGTAGGTCGCATGCTGGGCTACGAATGTCTGTCTGTCGAGCACTTGCTCAAAAGAATATGTCGTGTATATCAAAGAACCTCGAGAATTATCAAGAGCCGGTAACAATAAACAATGTCCCCTAACTGATAGACGATCAAGGGCGGCTGAGATAAGTTACGTATATCGAGGGCGCTCCGGAATGCGAAAGGGAGATTCAGTAGTGGTTTAGCTCAATCGTGCCCTTGCAGTAAAACAGGCAGTACCCGACAAGAACAGAGTACTTCTCTCTCGATATCTGAGAACGAGGAGACGCCGAGCGTATTTCGAAAGGATATTTCGCGTGTATTGCCCTAACAAGGGGCGCGGTGAGTAAAGGCAGGAAGCGAGGGACTGTTAAATTAAGCCGATAATGCTGTTTCCCAGTGCCAGTTCTGCCAAGGTGCAGTGCAATACAAAAAGAAGGAAAAGGAAAGAATGTAATAACGGTATGGGCTAACGAGTGAGTGTGCGTAACCAAGCGAGTGGATGAGACGCACTACCATAAACCGCGTTAGCAATTATTAATTGTAGAGTTTGATAGAGTCAAGATCGGGCTGAAGCCATGGGATGGAGAGGAACTGAGAGAAAGATGGGGTTGCACGACTGAATGGCAGGGACTGGGGTGAAATGCACCTTCCTAAATGCCTGCTTGTCAGTGCGTAGGCCAGGCGTTTGTCTGGGATCAGGAGTAAGAGAAAAAGGGGAATAGTGCACTTGACGAGCCAGTCGGAGAACGGACGGTTAAGATTGAATAGGTCTAGACTCTTTGGTCTTGATGAACCCCATTCGCTCGTATTCGATAGTGCCTGGCTCGGTTCAACGCTTGGGACTGCAAAGCTCAGGAGATAGTAGTCGCTTTGGAAAAAAAAGGCCACTACGGCACGGCTTTCCATTAATTATCTCGTCTTCAGCGCCTATTTTCATATCCTCTGGTACGACTCATCACCACCGTCCGCCACGTTTACATGGTGGTCAGCCTTTTAATCCAACTGGCTGACCATTCAGAACTTGAAGGATACTTCAGTGTTGTGCTCCTTCTATTGATCCTATGGTTGGTTGCTATGGAATGGATGTTGACGATCATCCACACAAGGATAGTGTGGGTGCAAGTTGACACATGATGCGCAATCAATTGCACTTATGCTTGTTCGCCGTTTGTTCAATTGTCGAATTTCCTATCAACAGTTTGCTATCAAGTTGTCAATCAGCATATGGTAGGGGAGGAATTCGCCCATCTGGACGTGCTTGATGTGGCTTCTGTGGCTACCCTTTCTGCCGCTTTATCTTGCAGATGATTATGCAACATGAAACCGTTGAGCGACGTTTCTAACGACTATGCAAGGTAAAATAAACTCATCCATGATCCATGATTCAATATTCGTAAATTAGAGTTTGATCATCGTTATCATCTAACGACGCCACAAGACAGTGTTTCGGTTCCTTACATCTGCCCTGAATATCCAAAAAGTCAAATACGCCAAACAAGACCCTATGTGCATATAGCGAGCTGTATCTGGAATCATGGTGATACTCGTTGCCTCTCCACGCACCAAAATTTGTTGTTTTCAGGGTCCTGTATGAGAGCGGAGGAAATCTCGCACACGCCAGCGGGGTAATTGACGTGACATAGTCTCCGTGACATAGTCTCCGTGACGGGGATCTGCTATGGCTCCGCGTGTGGGTTCTTGTGTTTTGCAGTTTATCGTGTCCAGCCACGCGAGGAAACTTCTCCACTCTCAACTTTCGCGACGTCGCCAAATCCGTAGATACGTATATATCACGTGATTTGACGTCGGCGCTACAGCAAGGCCGGTCCCGTCCACGCGCGAGCCTCGTCATTGTCAGACGCCAGTTCCAGCATCGCCAGCTCCAACTTCATCATCGATTAACGACAACCGAATCCGCAGCACCAATCCCCTTCGAGCCCTGGATCTTTTTTTTTTCACCTCATAATTATAAACATGGAGGAAGAGCGTCTCTGGAAGTTCCGAAGGCCCGAATGGCTTAACAGCGTCTGGGCTCGCAACGCTGGTGTCTATGGCGCGGGAGCTATTGTACGTCTCGCCTCTTGACATGTCGCAGTCTGGCTGTTTGGCACTGCTTTTCCCTTACACTGTCGCCATAAGATTATTCGCGACTACATGCGCCAGCTATTGATGATGTATGATCCATTCTAACTAGGTTTGTTAGTTCTCCGTCGCTTTCTACATTATGCTCGACTCCGCCGTCTGGTCCAAATCTCCACGCAACGGCTCTGATATCCACGTCAAGTTTGTTGACTGGCTGCCCTTCATCTTCTCCAGCTTGGGCATGCTCATCATCAATTCGGTCGAGAAGCAACGTTTAAGCGCCGATTCTTTCAGTTATAGTGGAAATGGGGTGGCATGGAAGGCTCGCGTCGTCTTGTTCCTTGGCTTTGCAGCCCTAGCTGGTGGAATGGCTGGCGGTGTTACCGTCTTTGTTCTCAAGTTTATTGTCCCAAGTGTCGCAATGCCTGCGTTGGGTATGGGTATTGAGAACGTACTCAGCAACGCTTTGGTGGGCGTGAGGTAAGATTCCCGTTTACCGTGAAGATAATGTGTATGTTGACTGACCTCCTGTAGTTCTGTCGTTCTTTGGATCAGCCAGAACATGGAAGACGAGTACTCCTACAACCTTTCCCTGTAAACACCATAAATCGCCACGAGTCGGGCAACAGGGTCGAGCCAACATCAAGGCGCATTGATGGGTTGAGTTAAGCATTGGATGTACGATTAATAACAGAAGTCTAAAGCACATTGATGGGAGGATGAGTTACGATGCTGTCGTTTCCCGTTCAGCAGCAACTAATTAGTAACCAGCATTGACTGAAGGAATACCTGAACAAACTCGGCGTGCTGAGAAGTTGTTTCGTATCTTTCCTTTAAATCTGGGATTGGGTTAGAACTAGCGTTAAATACGGAGTAGGTGGGCTTTTATTGAGATGCAAATCATGTTCATAACATTACATGCTCCAATATGATAGAACATGGACCTTGAGTCATGGAATCAATATGATAATTGAGGACTTATAGGTTCATCGACATCTCAATAGTCAGCTCTGTGTTCTAAATTCTATTTAATACGTTATGTGCAGACATTTGCAACTGCCGAGTTAATCAGCGGAATTGATGTAAGTTGGTGGCTACCTAAGACGAAGGCACCCTGGCGCATCCCCACACAAAACAAAGTCAACAATAGGCGACTTGGCTTCACATCTGACTCGGAGACCATTGCGATAAACATCAACTTTTGGATAGAAACACTGCTTTTTGCATCACATCCCTTCAATTTGCACATTATGGCTGATCGCTCCCGTGCAACTACAAATGGAAACGGTGTCTCGCGCACCCGCAACGGTGCTTCTTCTGCTGGCGTCCGTCGCAATCTGTTCCAGAGCCAGTTGACCCGGCGACCTACTGCCGGTTCTACGTCCACGTCCGCCGAGACATTGCATTTAGACGTAGATGTCTTGTCTGATACGTCTGAGATCGTCGTTCGCGATAAGCATGGGGAAATTGAGCTTGGAGATCCCCCAACGCCAATGATGGACGATGAAGATGAACTCCCTCTGGACAATGCACAAGAGTGTGAAAGTATGCAATCCCCCGTCTCAGATGTAGGATGAAGAGAGCTCATGTTTAATAGAAGAGAGACAAAGACTCACAGAAGCCGTTAAGCATCATCAGATAAATCGTCATGATGTACACGAACAGCCCGAAGGTGTGCATTACACTCACCCATTACGCACATCACACTAACATAATTCAGAACTTATTGAGGCTGTAAGGGCAAGTCTACGAGCGAAAGTAGCAGCTCTCAGTGAGGATAACTGGATGTTTGAGCCTGAAGAACAACACCGTGGCTAACCAAGTCTTTTTGTTTACCTTACAACGCCTGCTGTCTATGTATTCCTCTCAAGACGATATGGTATACCCCATTCCCAACCTTATAGACGGACTTTTTCTAGTCCAGACCCTCTGCCGCAGGGGCATCTTGCCTTTGCATAACCTGTTTACGCTTGGGCTTCTCTGGCTGACCACCGCCGCCACCAAAGAATCCGCTCATCATATCCATCAAAGGGTTGCTCTGCCGGGGCTTGGAAAGACCGAAATACATCTCTCCAATCATCTCGAGCGCCTCAGCCCATGATCCAGCCTCGTTAATTTGTGTCGCATACTTAGATACAAGGGCACGGTAAAGTTCTGGTGCGCCACGCTGAATGGCAAGGAGGAGAAAGCCGAGGAAGTTGAGGAGGGGGAGGCTTGGGAAGATGCGGATGTCACCAGCAGGGCTGGATACATCTTGGACGCCGAGGTTCGGGTTGTCGCTGGAGAGAGAGCTGGTGAAAAGGCGGTAGCAGGTATTGGCGGCTCGCACATTGCCGACTAGGAGGTAGGGGAGCACAGCACGGCCAGCAAAGAGAGCCGCTTGGTGAGGCTCACTCTCCTTGTACCAGGTATATTCCATTTTTGTCAAAACCTCGGGTGAGTCCTTAGTGCCCAGTAATAGATGTTTCTCGGCCTCGTATGTGTCGTGTTCTTCGGCGTAGAGTGATCCGGCGACGTGGTGAAGCTCTGGGTCTCCGGCAGGGTATTCGCCGAACTTAGCTGACCATCTGTCCTCCGACATTAGAATTATCCATCCGGCGTTTTTTTATGTGACGCTTTTCTACTTACCCAACAATCTCGCCCACGAACTTCTTCCTTGTAGGTTCCCCAGCCTCAAACAGTCGCAGACAAGTCAATAGTCTGCCCTTGGAATCAGCATCGGGCTTCAGCTCTGCCTGCTTGTAGACGTCGACGAGCATGGCACAGAGATCACCTCCACTGCCACCCTGACCAGCACGTAACAGTGCTTGGGAGACACTGGAGAGGATGTCGATAGCGGCGGGCCAGTTGGAGGTCTTGATGTAGCGAGATGCGGCGACACGGGTCTGTTGCTGAGCCTCGTAGTAATCGCCCTCTTCGATTTTAGCCTGTAGCCGAGCTACGATGCGGTCGACCTTGCTGGCCATTTTGAAAGCTTTGGAGATTTATGTAGGAGGCGGCTTAAAGGTTGGCTATGCGATGCGATGAAAGAAAGTGACGTAGAATATTTTATACAGAATCCAAGTTGTCGCAGCTCAGGTGGGTGAAGTGTTGGAGGGGTTGTTGGTCAGAACTACGTACCCAAGCTTACCCTTGAGCTCCGCTGAGAGTTCCACTTTTGGGACTCGAGAAACTCTGAGATAAATTTCTCTTGCCATCAACTTCTATCTATCAAAGACCTCACTTCGTCATTTCTTCTGAATAATTGCATGATTGCGACAAGCTACAGGCTTGTTCTGTTTGATGTCTCCCTTTATTACGGCCTTTAATTCCTCCATCATCGACCTGTACCATCAAGGGCCATGCGTTATTAAATGCGCTAACCCTTGGACGCTTATCCGAACCAAACCATTAACCCTCGAAGAATATTAACTGCCATTGCCTTCGTCTCCTTTACGAACATGTTAAATGCCTTGACTAAGTAGCTATCAGTTACTATCCACGTCGATATCAAGGTAGGCCAATTGCCTGGCTGCCTGAGTAGGTACCTACTAAGGTAAGCAGATAGAAAGAGTTAGAACTAATGCAGTAAGGTTCGTCTCATTGCCCCACACGACACAATGTTTGAAGCAGGTCATCCAAGTGGACCCTTATCAACTCAGACGTGTATAAGAAGCTCGACATCCCCTCGTTTAGTTCACCTTGCCAATGTCTAGTTACACGAGCGAAGACCTCACTATCGCTATCCTACTTGGACATTCAGCGCAATTCTCTAAGCAAACAAACAGCCCCAGCAGCGCGGTTAGTTTAGTGGTAAAACTCTCCTCCCCCAAGTGGTGGGAAATAAACTGAAAAGGAGTGTCCCGGGTTCGATCCCCGGACCGCGCAGCATCTTTTTGCGTCTTCGAGCTATTGATACTGTCATCATATACGAGAGTAATATAGGTTTGTTGAATGTCGTGTTATTCGACAAGTAGTGCAGTGGTGTACTTTGTTCCTGTGTAAATGATCCGCTCTTCAATTTGAATTATATGTAGTCTTTAGCCTTTCATGAGCATTTTACGAGCAGATGATGGAAGTAAGACGATAGGTATAGAACTCGATTTAAAAGTGTTTATGTGTCTTCTCGTATATCTCATCTGTTTCATCTCTTTGCTGGATGTCCAACAATGACATGTACTGCCTGTTTAATCCGTTGAAGCCCCGAACCGATCCATAGTAGACCGAAGCGCCACGACGGACAGTGCGACTCGGATCCAGTTCCGGACGTTGTTGATGCTACTCTGTTCATGACATGCCATCCGGGGAAGAATGCCGAAGTCTGCGTCAACTAAGTTCTATCATTATAAAGAGCTCATTATCCCCTATATGTTGTTTCAGTCTTATTTTGATTTTGGTTTGTTCAGTTGACTATAAATCATCTTTAGTAATAAATATAAAACATGGCCTCATCTGCACTTCAGCGCAAGTCACTCATCTCTCTGTCTGTTATCAAAGTATCATATGCACTAACAAGTATCAATAGGCCTTGTGCGTTTCGTTCCGAGATCGAGTCCTTCCAAGATCCTCATCGGCCAGCCAGCTGACAGGAATATTGACGTTGGTGCTGCCTTGCGCAAGGGTCAAGAGGTTGCTGTCGATGTCTGGTCGGGCTCATCAGTTCTGGCCCCAGGATCATCAACTGGCACTACCGAGACTATTGACCGCGTCTTGTCTCCTCTTGCGCAAAACGAAGTCGGTACTGTGAGATGTGTTGGCTTGAACGTACGTGCAGCGCGCCTCTCCCAGTGCTCTCACCCACTGACCCTTCATCTTAGTACAGAAAGCACGCTGCCGAGTGCGGACTTGAGCCTCCACCAATCCCGGTCATATTTATGTATAGTGACTTATGGTTCTTTACATAGCCTCCAAACTGACTTGAATATAGGAAGCCCAGCACATCTCTCGTGGACCCTTGGCCTGCCAAGGGAATAGTTCCAAAACTGAGTCAAGTAGACGCGTCTGGCGATTACGAGGCGGAGCTGGCAGTCGTCATTGGCAAGACAGCCAAGAACGTTAGTGAAGCTGAGGCTTTGGACTACGTCCTCGGATACACTGCCGCCAACGATGTTTCCAGCCGTACTCAACAGCTGAACCAGTCTCAGTGGTCATTCTCCAAAAGCTTCGATGGAGCTCTCCCTCTTGGTAAGTTTGTTGGAGCGATCAGCGAAGCCTAGCTAACAAAACTGCAGGCCCTACACTAGTCCTGAAGTCGCTGATTCCAGACCCTTCCAAGCTTCACATGCGAGGCCTTAAGAATGGTGAGGTGTATCAGGAGAGTGGAACTGAGTAAGTGGCCCTTGTCCAAGTACACGAGTCCCTATACTAACCGTTCCCAAGTGATCTCATCTTTTCTGTCCCAAAGATTATCAGCTGGCTATCCCAGGGCACCACTCTTCCTCCTGGAACTGTTATCGTTACCGGTACTCCTGCGGGTGTTGGAATGGGCAGAACACCCAAGGACGCTCTAAGACACGGCGACGAATTTGCAGTTGAGATCCTGCCTCATATTGGAACACTTACCAACGTTTTTGAGAACGAAAATAGTGGCTTCATGACGAAGCTGTGAGCAATTCCAGTCATACAACCATGTCATTCATATATAATCATTGTTACGGATATGTGCTTATATCATCATTATCATCTGCACATCATGGACCCTAGAGCAATATTGCAATTTGCCCCGAACATGCAAATATATTGCTTGTCCAGATGCTGAGCAGCGTGACATCAACCCCTCTTTCATCAAGCCACCGATGAGAGTGAGCACTAGTATGCCAAGTCCTCATTTTTCTCACGAGCACCTATCCAGATTTGAAGGTTACGGACCACTCTTGATTCGTCTCAGATAGCTCTGAATCGTATCAGCAAAAGATTCTCTGTCTGATGACATAAGACCTTCCGATAAAAATTCAATCATAAAACATCACACCCCAAAAGTGCCTCCCTCTACCAACATTCTCTTTCCTCAGATCAGAAGATAAGCACAGTAATCATTCCAACAATGGCAAACCAGCCCCCTATCCCTCAGAAGATGAAAGCTCTGAGATTACTTGAGGTAAGAATCAAATGGAAGTGAAAGGCGAGCTCGATGTCATTTCCTAACAATTTCCAGTATAACAAGGGTTATAAACTTCACGATGATGCCCCAGTCCCGTCCCCAAAGCCAGATGAGGTTCTTATTCGTGTAGCAACTGCTGGATTCTGCCACTCTGATCTCCTAGTATATCAGGGTCTTACGCAGGTACCGTTGCCGTTTATCGGTTCTCATGAACCAGCCGGCACTATAGTTAGCCGTGGGTCTGACGTGCCAGTAGTGTGGCATATAGGAGAACGCGTAGGAGTTACAAACTTCATGGACCCTTGCGGAAATTGCAAGGGGTGTAAATGGGCAGCCCAGGCTATCGGGTCTCTTGATCCAAGGTTCTGTGACAACAGAACCATGTGCGGTATTCTCCATCGTGACGGAGCCTTCGCTGAGTATATGACTTCATGGCATGGCGCTCTTGTTCATTTGCCTGATAGTATGGGTTTTGAACAGGCAGCCCCTTTGATGTGTGCTGGAGTAAGTCTTGCACAAAGCTGGTATCGTCTCAATGGGACATGCTGACGATGAGCTTCAGGCAACTATTTGGCACGCCATCAATCAAGCGAGTGTGGAAACAGGCCAAACTATAGCTATCATTGGAATAGGAGGTCTTGGGGTCCTTGGTATCCAATTCGCAAAAGCTCGAGGTTATCGAGTTGTAGCCATTGACAACCATGAGATAGGGCTGAGGCTCGCAACAGAGGTCCCTTCTCATCTCAAACCGGATCTTATCCTCAAATACGACGATCCAGAAACGATCCAAAAGGTCTCGGATTTCACGGACGAGATCGGTCTCAAAGCTGCTGTTGTATGTACCAGCGATGACGACGTTAACGACTGGGCTGCTCATCGATTGCAACCAAGAGGAGTGCTGGTCGCAGCTGGCTTCCCAGAAAACGGACTCAGGTTTGATCCAATGAATCTTGTGTTGAGAGAGATTGTAGTCAAGGGTATCGTTCATTGCAGTATGGAGGAAACCAGAGAGATGATGAAGTTTGTGACTGAGCATGGGGTTCAAAGTCATCTGAGCTTCCTTACGATGGAGGAGGCAGAAGACATTATTGCAAAGTCCCAAGCTCATGTGTTAATCGGTCGTCCAGTCGTCAAGATTGAAGAGTAGCCAAGGGGTAGTAGGAGGATGGTCGCATTCGGGAAGGTCTGAAGATTGGTGTTTCGATGAGTTGATTAGGAATAGTATCAACTTGTTACTATGAAAGCAAACTTTTGACATGGGGACGAATAGAGTATTGCCATTCAGCGTCAAGACTTCACTCCGCGCATTCTCCTTGGCTGATCACGTAAATAGATCATTAAGCTTTGTATTGACTTATTTATTTATTCAAGAGTTTCCATTACTCCAGTCTGACCCGCTGCTAAATATATCTACGTCGGGTCAATCATTCAACTCAGTTAAATCTTGTACATGCAGAACAGACTATCTAATAGACCACGGTGCTTACAATGCTGCTGCGTAAACATGCTTGTCCGAAACACCCCCTCTCATTAAAAAAGAATCGCCGGTTATTTACCCCAAGCGCTGCCAGACGGCCGTCGTCCCTTCTCGTATAACCATTTGCTGTTCAGTCCAACGCTTGTTCGCTTACCACCCGGAGTGCTGGGAGAAGTAGGGTCGGAGAAGACATTGGAAGAAGAGCTAGCAGCGAAAGGACTTGTTGATCCGAAAGAAGATCTTCTGCCGTTGAAACTGTTGCCGAAGCTACTGCCGAAGCTGTTGGTGCTCTTCTGGAAAAGAGGGCTACCCAATGGGGATCCTTGAACAAGGGGACTACCTCGACCAGAGAGAGGCGAGCTGTTGTAACTTCCTCGGCTTCCGACTGAACCGCCGATGGAAGGTGTGCGAGAGTATCGAGGGGGAGTGCTGAACTTGGTGTCAGGAGTTGGCGCGGCCGACGAAGGATCTAGGCCCAGCAGTTGGCGCTGGGCAGATGTGAGAGGGATGTCGGATAGATCGTCTTTCGGTCGAATCAAAGGCAAACAGGCAATGCCAATGTTGATGAAGGGGATAAGTTGAAGAATAAACCAAGCCCAGCCCAAGTATACTCTAAAAGAACTGGGAACGCTGAACAACCAAGTTAGTCATGACAAGTCGCGAAGGCAGCAGCAGACAGCAACTCACGCTTGAGAGCCAATGTTGAGCTTCGCTAGGAGCTGCGCAGACCAGAATCCTAGCAGCGCAATAACATTGTAGGCGATCTGGCGGACGTTCTTCTCTGAAAAGGTCGTCGCATTACGACGTCTAGTAATCTCGTTGAGTCGCGGGTGACGCCAGGTACCAGGGCTGTCGGTCACTGAGGGGCCGGCAATGGTAGCTGTCCGAACTGGAGTGGCCATTTTGAGGCAGGCCGAGGGTGTCTAATATAGGTTTCTTATGTGTAGCTTGTCGAATGCCGTGGAGCTCTTGAATGCTCTGCAAGATACAGGCCAAAGTCTCTTTCACTTCGCTCCAACTCGAATATGGCGATATGTCTCCCACTGTAGCGTCCCTGTTGGTTAGTATGTGTATCGTTCTGGCCGAAGCCGTGGTGAGCTCGGTTGCTCCCTTAGTTATGAGGTTTGTTGATGTTGCGACCAGAGAGATGAGGGAGAGCGGCTCCCCTGCTATGAAAACACAAAGCCTAGGCTCTGCTGTAGCTTTTAGCTCTGTCTGTTGCAGCGCGACCAGCACGGACCTTAGGTGACCCTGGTGTATATAAAACTGCGCCACAGCCCAGTCTCTTAAGCCACAGACAGCGCGAGCAAACAACCTGCTAGCCTGCTTTCATTTGTTAGAGGCAGCTCCACTAGACCTCCCTACCTTCCTTGGTCGTGAAATGCTGAGTGCTACAGTTACCTACCGTGACGCGCCTCAGCAACTTCCCGGCTCGTGGGCGCATCGGCTGCCCCAGGCAAACTAACGCAAGACAAGGCAAAGGCACAGAGAGCAGCGCAGCTGGCAACTTCGCTTCTCAAACTTAACATCGTTCCTTCCCATACCATCATTCGAGCTGAGAAATTCAACACGGCCCTTTTCCTTTTTGATTTCCTTTATCTTCTATATCCTTACACCAACCCAACTCCATCGTCTACATTATCACCATCGCATTCGCAAACAATCTGCGCACGCGCAATCTGGTATTAAATCATCATCAACCAGTCCCCACCAATTTCCACGTCTCCCTGGCGAACTTTCCTATCTCAACAAAATATTCTTTCGCGATGCGCCGTTGATACATCCTGGTGACCAATTCTTAATTTCGATTCCCTACGCTACATCGCGAATAGCTTCATTTTCTGGTAATCGTAAGAACTACATTCACTAGCCATGGCGTCTCCTGCCTCACTCGCCGCGACCTCCGAGCTCGACCTACCAAGCTCTCCTGTTCAGCCCGAAGCCAAATCATTTGTCTCCCGAGCCATGTCCGAGGACGACGATACCCAAATGGGCAATGCCACTCCTGATCCCCGAGAAAAGTCATCCCGTGCGAAAAGCAAAGCATCACAAAGCAAGGACAAAGAAAAGGAAAAGGAAAAGGATGCAGCAAACCAGCCAACAATTGGCAAGATACGCCATCTGAAAAAGGAGGATGGCGAGCCCCTTTGGAGGGAAGACATTCAATACGACTTTCTCAAGGCTGTTTTCGATAACGAGAAGACTGTCTTTACCAACTCTTATGAACCTGAGAGGCTTCAGCGACAATGCTTTGCTGATCTTTACATCGATACTATGTCTCGTAGCTCAAAAACCAGCAAAGTGCTTCGAGATAAGCTTCTCAGCGACAGAGAGGCTGCGAAGGGCATGGCAATGGTGTGTCTTCTTGTTAATATGGGCCGCATGAACACAACTCTAAATTGTAAGGAACGCTATTATTCTCAAATCGCCCCTGCTAATGTTATTAGTTTTTCCTGAGATGCGAGCTCAGCTGCGTACATATCATGCCATCCCTTCACTACAAGCTCGCCAGGATCCTCATGCTTACAAGCAGCTCCAAGATGCTCCTCGCCTCAAGTCTATCTTGAAAGGTGGCGCAGATGATCGAGAAGAACCTAACTCCCTTGATAAGATCAAGGCGCTAGACACCCCGCGCACAAATCCCGTCAATCTTATTTTTGTCATGTGCAACGCAGCGCAGAAGATCAAAGAGCTTCATTTCCCACGAGCCTGTGAATTTCACGATTTGATCATGAAAACTGAAGTAACAAGCCAGTCTCGAGCCAATGCATTCCTGTGGCTCATGTGGTTCTACCTTGAGTCCGACTTCACGGAAGAAGGTTGTGAAGAGAATCCTTTCGGCGCTGGTGTCGATTACGGGCTGGATGTAGCCAACCAAGGAGTTCCACAACTCATAGGGATGACCGAAGAACAACAAGCCAGGGAGAACGTGGACACCGAGGAAGAAATTGAGTTCGGTCGCACCAAGCAGAAAATGCGAGCAAAGATTCTAGAAATGGACCAGGCCTATCTTAATGAGAGGGATACAAAGAGAGGCAAAATGCGGCCATCATTTGCCGCCGACGAAGGCCCTGCAATTCTCCCTCGTATACGGCCATCCAAACATGAGTCCGATATGGACAGCACCCGGTCGACACCGCCACCAAGAGCGCTTGGTGGTCGGGGTCTTAACTCGAGTCGCAGAGGTGCTCCTCTCAAATACCAGATCTTCGAGGGTGCATCGTCACCAGCGCATCACGTTAACGAAGGTGTTGTTGCCAGGAAACCTCGGCCCCCCACAGCACACCAACTAGCTGTTGAGCGAAACCGGAGCCAGAGAGTTGAGTACATCCTGGATCGAGGTCTCCGCCGCCAGCATCACAAGAGCCGAAAGCTCAGAAGGCAGGACGGCGCCATATTCAGGGCGTATCAACGGGTCAATGCTCAAGAGGATCCATTTGAGGACAGTGATGATGAGAATTCCTTGCCACGAAACCTGACCTACGGGGATAAGACTCCAGGATTATTCCGCGAGAAGGGTGTGGGTGGGCTTTGCCTTTTGACAAAGGAAAAGGACGATTTTGGCGAGGAAGTAAGTGCTTACGCTGCTGCTCTGAGAAGGGCAACAAGACGTCTAGCTCGTTGGAGGCCGCAGGCTCACGAGCTTGGTGTTATTCCGGCTGTCAAACGGCCCAGGCCGAAAAAGGCTGAAGAAGACGACGGGGATCTGGACTTGGATGATGATATTGATGGAGATAAACAAAACGGGGATCTCAACGGCGATGTCACACTTGGAGATGTCACAGTGGGAGACATGACAGCTGGTGATATGACTATGGGCGATGTTACGATGGACGACGCCGAGATTGAGGACCAAACAGTTCTCCACGACGACGACGAAGTGGACGACGCAGATCGGACAGAAGTAATGGGAGACTCCGATATTGACTAGGCGGCAGATTCAGGTAGAGGATTACAGCAGCCGAGGATACAATGCCAGGAGGGTGAAGTTGGAGTTGGCAGTGTATCTCTATGGGAAAGGAAACGAATGGTTAGCGATTCACAGGAGCTATCGCGGCTTGGCTTATGGGCATTGGAGTTGGCTTGTCGCGTCTTGCGCACACGTTTTGCCGTGGGTTTCGTTTCGATGGGTATAATTTGTATGGCGTTTAAAGAAACATGCATACCATAGTCTATGTGATGCGGTGAGGGACAATCGGGGAAAAGCAGTTGCTTTCTCTAGATAGTTTGCGTTTGCTACCAATAGAACAAAATGTTTGGTCAGATTGAAGGTCAAAGTGTGTACCTGAGCGAATACAAATACGAAAACGAAGTTATGAAGTGACACGTTGTACCTACAGTAGTTGGGGTTTCACATGCAGCCAGAGACAATGAGTGGTCACTAGAGACTTGCTAACGTCAGGGACCTGAATTGAATTGACTAATCGTTGGCGGCGCGCTGTAGAAAAAAACTGGACGGCAATACTCCCCGTCCCGAGTCCGCGAAGCTCCAGCCCAGGGTCCAGCTCCGTCTGGCTGATTAAGTTAATTTCCGGGGCTCAACAGAAATTGGAGTCACCGTTTATTTACTTGCATCCTTTTCCTTCGTACGATCTTTGAACTTGTCACTTGTTCAACTTGGAAAGAATCGCAACAATGGCAAAGAGCAAGTCCAAGTCCAGCAAGCCCTCGTCGGCTTCAAAGTCGCAGGGTAGCCTCAGCAAGCTTCTCCTAGTTCTCGGCCTCCTTACCGCGCTCCTGAGCTCCGTCGTCTACTTTGTCGAGCAGAACCTCGAGCAGTTCTACATCTTCGACCTCAAGCACCTCGACGATCTTTCTAAGCGAGCGCTCGCCAAGCACGGAGAGGACACCAGGGCTGTCGTTAAGCACATTGTTGATGAGCTTAGCGAGAAGAACCCCGAGCACATCAACGTCAAGGAGGAATGGGTCTTTAACAACGCTGGTGGTGCTATGGGTGCCATGTACATCATCCACGCCAGTGTCACCGAGTACCTCATTATCTTTGGTATGTACTCTTCCACTTATCCAGATTCAATTGGCTAACAAACTTGCCATAGGCACTGCCATCGGTACTGAAGGCCACACTGGTCGCCACACCGCCGACGACTACTTCCACATCCTCTCCGGAACTCAGCTGGCTTACGTCCCTGGCGAGTATGCGCCCGAGGTCTACCCTGCTGGAAGTATCCACCACCTTCGCCGCGGCGATGTCAAGCAGTACAAGATGCCCGAGGGCTGCTTCGCTCTCGAGTACGCCCGCGGTTGGATCCCTCCCATGCTCTTCTTTGGCTTCGCGGATGGTCTTTCGAGCACCCTCGACTTCCCTACTCTCTGGGATACCACTCGCATCACCGGTCGCGAGATGATCAACAACTTGATCAAGGGCAAGCTGTAAAAGGGGTGAGATGAATCTCGCATGAACGTGGATAGTCATAGACCAAAAAGGACGCCTTTCTGTATATTATACTTAGGGATTTGGAAAAGTTGGGATATAGATTTGGTTAGCAGGGAGACACTTTGTATGTCTTGGCGATCAGAAAAGCTTGTATCTCGATGTAAGAACGAACGTTCACATCTAAATCTGAGCAATGTATATGTTATATCTGCTACATCAACATTAGTTTATGACTTACGCGCCAGCCATTGCATGTGGTTGAATTCATTTTCATTGTGGCGATCGTTGCGTGTCAAATGCATTGTCCAGTTTACACAATTTACATTTCATTTCTTATACAGACGCACTCGCATTATTGCTACGATTCCGTTTATACTTCAGTTTCTGATACACACTATCCTCTTTTGGCATTCTCTGTAGGTGTCTTAAAGTGCTTGGTCTGTGGCAACCGGTTATGATTTCTTGTGCTATAAAGTAATCATTATGTCAGAAGACAATTATGGCTGAATGTTTTACTTTGTATTTTTACAGCAAGTGCTTTGAAACTGTGGTTATTCAAGAAAAACAGACAGGTGATGTCGGTCTGGCGATTGTAGATAAGGTGGTTGCCAGATAATAGGACTAAACCAGCTGTCTCTACTATAAGAAAGGAGACCTGAAAGAATTTCAAGAAGTCAAGTCGGCTGTTTTAATATTTTCAAATATTTTAAAGCACTGTTCGTAAACTAGTTATATCTTACTCCGAGAAACCTAATTTTATTCAGCTCCTGTGAAATCTTTGAGCTCAACTTTGACAAAAATAAAAAAAAACTATAGATTGGTAATACACAGAAAGCACCTGATTACAAGGCTTGCTAATTTTTGGTTCAGTGCCATTTGACTCTTACAGCGTCAATGTGATCTGTCTTGGAGGCTTACGATGTGGTGTTGAGCGATTCTCACATACAACACTGTGGACTAGTCACGACTAATGTTCTTATTTTAAGTTCATTATATGGTTGTAGAGAAGTCCTAATCCTTCCGGACATAAAATTGATACTTGTCCCCTCTATCCAGAAGCACGACTCTGTCTTCCAACCCAGCCTCCTTGACTGCCTTCTCAAAATCCTTTCGTGGCGACATAAAAACATCATAGTCATCGTAATGAATGGGAATTGTAACATCTGGATCCATCATTTTGATCATCTCAACACCTTGTTTAGCATCCATGGTTACCATGAGCAGAGGTGCAGACGGCCCAGGGATAGTGGTTCCTCCCAAGTGAATCAGCATCAAGTCGATACGCTCATTCTGAAGCCACTTTGGAATATCTTTAAGTTCATCCACGAGAAGTGTATCTCCAGAAATGTAGATACGATAACCAGTTTGTACCTTCTCATCTTCGTCGTTGTGGGAGCCTAGCTCGAGCATTCAGCCGTTTGTAGGCGGGACTGCACCGATGAGGTCGTTCATTGCGGCCAGGGGGCCAGGAGGAACGTGTTTTCCCGGCATGCCAGTGACTTTGATGACAAGGGCTTGTTTGCCAGCTTCAGTATCATCCGACTTGAGTTTAACATGGTCGAAAAAGTCGAGTGCCTTGACATTGGTGAAGGGCGGGTCTTTAGCTGTCAAGCACTTATGCGCATGGGGAGTAGTGACAATGAGAAAGTCCCTATTGAGGGAATCTTCGACGAGTCGGTCGAAGTGATCTTCGTGATAATGTGACAGAAGAATGCCGTCTAGTGAAGGTAACTCATGCAAGTCAACCGCCGGGTTGGTCTGTCGTTGAGCAGTGACACCGGGGCCAAGATGAACATGGTCGCCAGCATGGAGAAAGTTTGGGTCCGTGAGAAGACGAAAGCCTTGCCATTCAATCACAGTGGTAGCTGTTCCAATGAAATAGATATTCGCGTTCTCGTCGCCTTTGCTGCCCTTGGGATGAGTTTTGGTTGCCTTTGGAAGGAGTGATTGATCATCGCCAGCAGCGGGTTTGTCTTTGAGCAGAGGCTGTCTCTTGGACAATGCCAGATTGATGACCCCCTTATCAGACATGTTATTTTTATTGTATGAGAGAGATGTATGTTGACTGGGTATGTTTTAGTTATTGACGGTTTCTAGCTGTTATTGACATAATTCATGTTAATGTCTGGATGACGTTGGTCTGGCGTATGTCTTGTAAGAAGCAACCAATTTCCTATTCGCTCTACCTAGGCAATGTGCAGTAAACGCCGTCATAGATTTTGATTGTAGTAAAGCGGTATTGGAATACTCAATTAATGAGCAATCATCTGATCGATCGTTCGTTGCACGTTTTCAATCTGAAAGCACTGATGAGTACGTCCAACGATTTGAAGCAAACTCACCTGAGCCATATGAGGACTTATTTCACTGACACATAATCACAGTATATATCACTATGCTTTAATATCATTCAATTCTCTTGATAAATCAACTTCCATGGATCAAAGATAATCGTGGTCTTTGTATTGAACTATAAGTGGGTGACTAGCAATAGTCGTCTCATTCAATTGTGTCGAAAGAATTGTTAAAACAAAGTAAAACAAGCCTTCTTCCTCGCAACTAACTTCATGTGGCATCTACAAAATCTCGTCTTTAATTTAAGTTACAAGATGTTGAGTACTCTATGTTTCAGAATATCTCATTGAGTTTGTTATCCGTCGTTCAAATGTTCCCAACGATACCCCACCTTTGCGATTTTCCGGTGGGACGTTGTCAGGTATCTATCTACCTACGCAGTTGATCTTCTTCAGATTAACAAACCAAACTCAATTCATTCACTATGACACGATTCCGACCCTGTATTGACCTTCACGCCGGTCAGGTCAAGCAGATCGTTGGGGGTACTCTTGACAGTACTTCAGCGGCTCTGCAAACCAACTATGTCTCTCAACACCCCCCTGCTCATTTCGCTCAGCTCTATCGGGATAATGAGCTTCACGGTGCACATGTCATTATGCTAGGCCCCGGCAACGACGGACCTGCTAAAGAGGCTCTCCAATCATGGCCCGGAGGTCTTCAGGTCGGAGGCGGCATCAACGATAAAAACGCAAAAGAATGGATGGATGCGGGAGCGGAAAAGGTACTACATCGGAAGCATCTCGCACAGACATTCTTTCTAATTATTTGGCAGGTTATTATTACCTCGTACCTGTTTCCGGAGGGTCGGTTCAGCCAGGAAAGGCTCGACGCAGTCCTAGAGGCTCTCGGTGGTGATAAAAACAAGCTTGTCATTGACCTGAGTTGTCGTCGTCGTGGAGAGGACTCTTGGTTTGTTGCTATGAACAAATGGCAGACAATCACAGACATGGAAGTGAACCAAGGTGAGTAGAGAGTAACATCTGCAAGAAAATGAATGACTCACAAGGCGCAGAATCTATCAAATCATTGGAACCCTACTGCTCCGAATTCTTGATTCATGCGGCAGATAACGAGGGTCTACAAAAGGGTGTTGACGAGAAGCTCGTGGAACGTCTTGCCCAGTGGTGTTCTATCCCAGTCACGTATGCAGGGGGTGGCAGACATCTTGAAGACTTGGAAAATGTCAAGAGACTCAGCAACGGCAAGGTGGATCTCACCATTGGAAGTGCATTGGATTGTTTTGGTGGTTCGGGTGTCAAGTTTGACGATTGCGTCGCTTGGAACAAGAAGCAAGACAATTAAAGAAAACAAAATCGGTTACGAACCAGTCGAATGTGTTAATGTTGGTTTGCCGCATGCAGCTGTATGAAAACAACATGGTTTCTCGTATGATGTTGTTACCCTGATATGTTTGGATGAGGTAATAATACGTAGCATGATATTGTATATGAGATTGAAATTTTCTCATGTCTTCAGGCGAGCTAATGATAAGTTGCTAACTCAAGACGGCAGTAAAAAAAGGTTCATTCTTGTAAACTACTTGGGCGAGCTGATATAGATCTGGTGATGTTTACATATGCGGCCAACAAGTTGACGGCGATTTCGTCATATTTGATCAAGCGCTGTCAATGCAGGTCCACTAAGAAAAATAGTATTGATCGAAATCAAGATGTACGTAGTGATCGGGTGCCAAGCAATAGGCACAGAGGCACATAATGGGGCCGTGGGGAGATGCAGACAGGGTCAAAGCGAGGGAAAACAGAGAGAGAGAGCAAGGTGAATTGTAAACAACCATGTTCGTTCGGGCTGGGAAACAAACATCCATGACAAAAAAGCACAGAGATAACCAGGGTGGATAATCTCGTCAGTTAGTGCCAGAGTAGCCTCGTCTGGTGCACGGGAAGATCGAGATGCAAGACATCCATAAATAATGGATGGGCAAGAGAATCGAGAATCCTCCATCTTTACCTAGCTTAGCGGAGACTTTGTTGAGGGTTGGTGGGGGATCTTCGAGACGGAAAAGAAAAGTTGCATCGAGGAAAATAAAAATCCCATAGTTGAAGATCTCTTTAACTTGGGTTACTAGACTAAAACTCAACTCCATAACTGACAGATGCCCGACGTGCAGTAACTTGCATGCCACGGGACTTATAAGCTTATAGGCAGGTCCCTAACCGAGCCAGATGGCTTTCCCCATTATCCATTGCTAGGGGGGAAACGAAACCTAACTGTAAAGATGGCAGAGAAAAAACGTCATGAGGAGTCAGGGTAATAACATGGTAAAGAAAACAACAAATCTTGACAGACAATCGCATAGTAAACATTGCGTCTCAGAATTGAAGAACATTTCAAGGATTATGCCAGAATCAACAACCAATTGTTTGCTTTTGCTGTGCGGCTGGTTGCCTTGCTGCCATGGCGACTGACCTACTGCAACGCTGTGAAGGGATGTTGGCTTGGAGCTGCAGCTGGTTCTGGACCGTCCTTGGAGGGGAGCTGCTCCAGCAGGGGCGGGGTAAGCCTGCGGGCATTGTAACAAGATAATTAGCGCCCTCCAAAACGTCCGGCTTTAGCTCGCAACTGAACCTACTGAACTGGGCTGGGTACCCGACCGTATCCCCAGCAACGCTTTCCATGTTTGTTTTCTCATCGTCCAATCACATTCACTCCTCATTCTATGGTGTGCTTCCTTAAACACATCAATTCGCCATAGTCACAAAGCATAGTCAACCTGCGACTTTCATAACATAAACTAACAGCATCACCGTGTGTAAGTTAAGTTGTGTTGTGCTGTTGGTCGAGCTTTTGATAAAGCTGTTCTGTTCAGGCGTGTCTTCATTTTTCCTTCCATCCATCAGCAGCAACAGACGTTGGTCGCATTTCTAGCTTGCATTCATTCTCGCCTTCACCGCGACATTCGTCGGCTTCATTTCATCGTGCTATACCTGACTCGCATACCAATGCGTTGATAGTCGTTTATCCAAATTTACGACGACTGTTTTACCCATCACCATTGTAGCATCCATGGCTACTGAATCGGTATGTAGACCCGCCCTGCTCGTCCCATCTCCCAGACAAAATGTCTCTGACTGATGCTCAGGTGCATCCCTTGCGAATCAACAAGACCACCACTCCAGGCAAATCTCCTTCCACAATGGCGAGCGGAATCCCTCGTCCGCTGTCGGAACTTTCACCGACAGAGATGAGAAGAAACTCGCCCAGCTGGCACAGACAATCGAATGGTTCTCCCAAGGTACGTCTACTAACCACTATCTACCGCTTCGACGTTTCGTGTTGACCCAGTATGCAGAAATCTTCAGGAAACCCCGATTCGTCACCCTTCCAATCTTCCCCTTCAGAAATTACCTCTCCACGCCTGTTTTGGCAGAACCGCAACACAGAAAACATCTTTGGACCTGGATCCCCATCGTCACACCGCCGCTCTTCCATCGAGCGCCTTCAAAAAGCATCCCGCGTAAAGAACAGCAACATTCTAGCACTCGAGCAAAAACAAGAATATGATCCCACACGACTTCCTCAGATCGAAAGACCGCTTGCTAAGGTCCAAGCAAATTCGTTCCATGGATCGACTGCGTCTTTCCGCTCATCAACCACTGACCGCCCCAACTTTGGACATGGCCGAAGTGAGAGCGCAATGACGGTTCCCACCATCAGCCCAACCAGATCTACAACCTCTCAATCCGGAGGTTCACCAAATCGTCCCCTCACACCAAGCCGGGATCAAGTGTCACCTACAAAGTCGTCCCTATCCCACTCCCGGTTCAAGAACAGCTTTGATATGGAAACTGGCACCTGGACCTTTGGCTCTCCCGAGGAGGAGGAGGATCACCCCATGGGTCGCCGTCATGCAAAGAGTGTGACTTTTGATGCTGCACCTCCGCAGGTGAACGAATATGAAATGACAACTCCCGACCTCTCATCTATCGGGACCAACTCTCGTGAGGGAAGCTATGAGTCGTTGGAGTATGACGAGGAGGACAGTGATGTTCTCTACGATCCTGGACATGCTGATCTCGAGGGCGACAGCTTTGATGCTTCTCTCGAAGACACAGACAAGACACCTGTCGTTGGCCCAGACGATTGGAGAGGAGACAGCCCGATGACAACACGCACTGCCCCGCGCGAGTTCGACGGCAGCCCTATGCCCGAAACACCCCGCGCGTCATTGAATGGCGGTCGTCCCCTGCATGTACGCTCTGATTCCACTGCTTCTAGCGGTGAGCACCGACCTCTACCGCCTCTTCCTGGCTTCTTGAGTCATTCCCGTAACAACTCAGCACCATCCTCTCCCGCCTCCCCTAGCCTATCGGCAACTGCAGAGCGAATGCTTGGAAATCAGAGGAACCTGCCCTCTCCTCCTGCCGCATCACCCGCGAGCAAGCTGGACATTCAGAGTATTGGCAACGCCAAGATGTCGCTTGAGGAGCGACTAAGGCTCATGATGCTGTCTGATGATAGCGATGGCAAGACTGCGGCTGAACAGCAGCGTGAGCGTCGCCTTCGTAGGGGTAATGGCCGCGAGCGACTGAGCAGCCCCATCTCGGAGCCTGAGGAGTCCATGATGAGCTTCAATGACGCTCTTGAGGAGCAAGACGACATGGTCGGCGAGATGTCGGCACTTGAAGACTACCAACTCCCCCCTCGCATCTCGCGTGACTCAATCATGCGAAAGGTCAATGGAAACAGCAACTCTGCTGACCAAGACAAGGACTGCATCTTCACTTCTCCTCCTGCCTCGCGAAGCCCTAGCCGAAGCCCTGAGAGACAGATCCCTGACGACCCTGATGTTCCTATTCCTTCTACCGAAGACTCTCTTCTCTCTGAGGATGACGAGACGGAGGATGACGATGAGGAGCAGGAAGGCAGTGTCATCATCAGGAGAATCCCTGATAGCGAGATTGAGTTCTATGAGGACTCCGATATCGATTTCGATGAGGATGAGTCAAGGCTGGAGCTGCCAGTAGACGATGATAGCGAGAGCCACTATTCTTCGCAAGAGCCCACACCACGGGAAATCAAGCTCGAGGAGGTCGAAGCCAAACTTCAAGAGCAAGTCCCAGAACCTGAGGAGATTCAGGAGGAGGTGACAACGCCTACAACTGCCACTCCCATACAAAGTCAGAGCATGTCTTCGCTTCTTGACATCGCTTCCAATGACAAGGACGCGTCGTTCTCGCGAGACTTTGAGTCTTACATGCTTCCTGAACCACAGAAGCCCGAGGTCGACGACGAGCCTGTCAAGGAAGACAAGGAGCCCCAGCCTGAGGCGCCCAAGATGGCCGATGCCCAGGCCTTCCTTCAGCGACCATTCACTCCTGAGCAACCTCTATCCAAGCCTGAATACGATGGCACTGGCTGGGGTGACCCCGAAGACGAGTATGACGACGATTGTCCAAGCACGCCAGACTCAGTCATCCATCACCCAGTTCCTGCTATTGAGGAGCCTGAACTACCCGCCATCCCTGAGCGAACTGCCACGATCAAGGCGACTGGTTCAAAGCTCAAGACTCGTCTTTCCAACACACCTTCCGACCTCAATGCTATGAGAGAAGCCCGCCGACAAGTCAGCATGGAGGTTCCTGTCGTCCCACCAATTCCTGACAAGCATACCAAGCGACTGTCCAGGGACAACACCGGACTCTTAGTTACCGGCGACGAATTTATCAACAGACATCCTAGCTTTAAGAACCGCAGTTTGACTTTGGATCTCGACCTAGGTCTCAGCCTCGATCAAGACTTTGAGCGAGTCATTGAGGCACAAAAGGTGGCTTATAACAACCCCTTCCTTACCCAACCTCCAACATACAATTCCAGCCCAAGCAGACAAGTGTCTGCAACCAGAAGTCAACAACACAATAATGAAGAACTCGATGCTAACGTAACATTTCGTCGCCAGCGCGGTTATCTTATGCGACAAAACACTAAGGTTGTCACGGCGAGTGACAAGGACATGGAAGAATTCCGTGTTACAAGGTCAGTTGGGAACTCTCCCGTCAAGGAGGACAGGCCGATGTCGTGCATTGTCGAGCCTTGGAACGGAAAGCCCCGCCAGCGAAGCGTCCGAAAGCGTGTCGGTGGCAGTATTGGCCCTGTTCCTCCTCTGCCTGGACAAGAGAGCAACGCAACAGCTGTTAACCAGGCTGCTGTCGAGGAGGACTTGTCTCTCGAGATGGCTACGCCGGAGAGCGGAGAAAGAGGTCGTCTTTTCGTCAAGGTCATGGGTGTCAAGGACCTTGACCTACCTCTACCAAAGAGTGAGTCCAACTTTCTAACCACTGGAACACGTATCTAACAGAAGCAGATGAGCGTACTTGGTTCAGCCTCACACTTGACAATGGTGTCCACTGCGTGACAACAGCCTGGTTGGAGCTGGCACGCAACGCACCGATTGGCCAGGAATTCGAACTTGTTGTTCCTAATGACCTCGAGTTCCAACTCACACTCAACGTCAAGCTTGAGAAGCCCATTGAGCGTGCCAGACCGCCACCACCCGCCGCCAAGGTTCACAAGCACAAGGCGTCGACCTTCAGCAGAGTGTTTGCGTCACCCAAGAAGCGCAAGGAACTCGAGCTTCGCCAGCGAGAAGAAGAAGAACGAGCTGTTCAACTACAGAAGGATGCTCAAGCTAAGCAGCGCAACGTCCCTCCAACAGCATACGAGCTTCTTTCTCCTTTGGCTGCAGAGGACGGCAGCTTCGGTCGTGCTTATGTTTGCCTTCGAGAGCACGAGAGTCGATGTTTCGGTCGACCTTATCTTGCTGAAGTTGCGTGCTTCAACGAATGGGCGACCGAAGAGGCTGGTTTTGCGTCCAGCGTCAAGAGCAAGCGCGGCAACACGAACGTTGTCCGCCGTGCACCATACAAAGTGGGTAAGCTGGAGCTTCAGCTCCTGTTTGTCCCTCGCCCCAAGAACGCTACAGACGAGGACATGCCCAAGAGTATGAACTCGTGCATTCGCGAGCTCAAGGCTGCAGAGGAGAGAATGTCCCGCAACTGGGAGGGACATCTGAGCCAGCAAGGTGGTGATTGTCCTGTAAGTTTTCCATCACCAAGCCACTTATTCAATCTCGAGCTAACATTGATGCAGTACTGGCGTCGCCGATACTTTAAGCTTGTTGGTACCAAGCTCACAGCTTACCACGAGGCAACTCGCCAGCCTCGAGCCACCATCAACCTAGCTAATGCCAAGCGGATGATCGATGATCGTCGGGCCTTGACGGAGAAGGAGACCACCGGTAGGGGTGGCCGCCGTCGTCGCTCAGCGTTTGCGGAAGACGAGGAAGGCTACATGTTTGTCGAAGAAGGATTCCGCATCCGATTCAACAACGGTGAGCTTATCGACTTTTACGCAGACACAGCTGCGGACAAGGAAGGCTGGTTGAAGGTCCTCACCGAGGTTGTCGGCCGTGACAGCCCAGAAGAGGAATCTTCAAATCAGCGCTCAAAAGCCAAGTGGTGTCAGTTAGTCCTTCGACGAGAAGAGCAACTACGTCGCCGCGCATCAGGTCGCCGAGTGAACTCAAGACCTAAGAGTATGTTCCTCTAAGACACTGTGTCGCTTGGCGAAGACAAAGATGAGACAAGGTGCTGGGCGCCGGGCGCCATATGATGACTACCTGGACCTGGCGTTCAGGACCAGCAGGATATTAACGATAGACGTCTCTGTTCGCAAGTCCTCTGGTATTGGTTTATATGGTTAATGGGATATCATGTTGACGTTGTAATATGACTGGAGTTGGGCGAGGTGTTGTACCCTTGGCTGACAAAAATTGGGAGCATTGGCCGTTTATGCACTTGCAAGGCGTCGCATGGAAATGGTTATTTTATATTTGTTTACTTTGAATTTTGGGGGCTTCATCGGCGCTTGCGCGTTAGGTGTTTTCTGTTTATAGTATCAGCTTATAATGAATTGTCAAAATGTTAAGTCTTGGTACTCTCGGTACAATACCCATCAATCGTATTGCCGTTTGACATAGTAAAGTCTGTCTGCCGTGCGCACGTGACACCAAAACAACACGTATCCACGGATGTTCATGCGAGCAATGAATGACACGATCCACCTGTAGGCGCCTCTAAGCGGGGCACCTAGGGGAGGTTATGAGGCGCAGCGTAATTTACAGTGGCTCATGCCCATACCTCGAGCTACCTTACAGGATAGGATCAGCCCGTATTAGTGCCATCTGATCCCGTCCCATCTCACCTTGGTAGCTACAACCTCCGGCTTCGTTGCCAAGTTGACGTCCTTTTCCTCGATCGCTTTGTTACTATACCACCTCCTTCGCGCTTCATTTACTGTCTCTTTTTACAAACCACATCTAATTAACCTCTGTCGCCATGGCCGGCCGTTTCGTACGGGCGTCCAAGTACCGTACGTACTGGCGCAAACTCAAAGCGCACGTCGCCAGAACCCGAATCGATTATGCTGACGTTACTCGCCAGGCCACGTCTTTGGAAAGTCCACGAGAAAGGAATTCTGCTACGACAACCTCCATATCAGTCGCAATGCTTGGGATACAAACTTGATCAAGGTGCGTCGTACTGCGTTGCGGCGCGTAGTGCAATCAACCCCATAATCTAGAGAGTCGCCGCTGATTTAGGGGGTGGTTGGGTTCGAATAGGTCAACCCTGAGTATCTCTCAGTCAATTGGGATTCTTCCGGTGGCGGCGCATTCGCTGTCATCCCTCTGAACGAGCGAGGAAAGGCTCCCGACCAAATCCCGCTGTTTCGCGGACACACTGCCGCTGTGCTCGATACTGACTGGTATGTATCCCCTGGTTGGGCCCCTGACGTACCCAGTCAATGTTACTGACAAAGACGCAAGGAACCCTTTCCACGACAACATCATCGCCTCTGCCTCCGACGATGGCAAGGTCTTTATCTGGGAGGTTCCCAAGGATTTCACCCTGCTCACCGACGCCGAGGAGATTACCGATGTCACGCCCGTGAGCAAGCTCGCTGGTCACCCCAGGTTGGTTACATAGATGAACCGTGATCCCCAAGGTACTAACACCCGAAAAGAAAGGTTGGACAGGTTCTCTTCAACCCCGCGGCCGAGAACATTCTCGCCTCCGCCTCGGGCGACTTCACCATTAAGCTCTGGGATGTCAACACCGGCCAGTCGCCTCTTACGCTCAAGCACAACGATATCGTCCAGAGTTTGACATGGAACGCCAGCGGAAGCATGCTCGCCACCACCTCGCGAGATAAGAAAATTCGTGTGTGGGATGTCCGACAGGAGAAGCCCGTCCACGAGGGCCCTGGCCACGGTGGTGCCAAGAACAGTCGCGCTGTCTGGCTGGGAGAGCACAACCGTTTCGCGACAACCGGCTTCTCGCGTATGAGCGAACGACAAATAGCTCTTTGGGAGCCTGGCAGGACAGAGCCCATTGGCGGATTCACCATGCTTGACTCCATCTCTGGTGTCTGTATGCCTTTCTGGGGTATGTAAATCCTCTCCAACAATGTTTGGGTCACGCCGAGACTAATACTCTGTAGATGATGGTTCAAACTGCCTGTACCTTGCTGGCAAGGGGTAAGTGTTCGCTTCTATCCGCACTGAGACATTACTAACTTGGCGCAGTGACGGTAATATTCGATACTTTGAGTACGAGAATGACAAATTCGAGTTCCTCAGCGAGTACAAGTCGGCCGACCCTCAGCGCGGTATGGCTTTCATGCCTCGACGAGGCATTAACGTATGGTTTCCCGAGAGCCCAAGTGTGTGTGTGTTACGTTTACTAACAGATCTAGACTCATGAGAATGAGGTCATGAGGGCTTACAAGACCGTCAACGATGCTTACATCGAGCCCATCTCATTTACTGTCCCACGACGTGCCGAGACCTTCCAGGCCGATATCTTCCCCCCTGCTGTTGGAACCAAGCCTGCTGCCACTGCTCGGGAGTGGTTCGATGGCAAAACTGCCGTCCCTAACAAGATTGACCTCGAGAGCGTCTACGACGGTACTGCGCCCAAGGAGGTTGCATCCGACTACAAGGCTCCTGCTGCCCCTGCCCCTGTCTCTGAGAAGCCTGCTCCCAAGGAGGAACCCAAGAGAGAAGAGCCCAAGCCAGCCCCCGCTCTCCGATCTCCCCCTCCTACCATGAACGAGCAGAAGGGATCGATTTCCGCTATGGCCTCCAGATACCAGGACAAGCAGGAGGATGAGGAAGAGGACGATGATGCTTCAAGCTTCGAGGAGGTTTCGCGACCTGCTCAGCGCCAAGCTGTTCCTGCAGCCAAGTTCACGCCTCCTGCTCAATCGCAGACGGCTTCTTCATTCACCCCCGCAGTCGCGAAGCCTTCCTCGCCGGTCAAGACTCCTACTACTCCCGCATTCTCAGCTCCCACCACCTCTTCTTCCTCTGCTCATATCACTAGTGACTCTTCCTTCGCCGAGATCAAGCAGCTGCTCGAGGGTCAGACCAAGCAGATCGGCCTCTTGACCGCTGAGGTTGAGGCGCTCAAGCGCAAGGTCAGCACTGGCTCTCAGGACCAGAGCGAGCGCATCCGACAGCTTGAACTTGAGCTGGAGGAAGCGAGGTCCTGAGGACAGGACCACAGTTTACTCTGGGAACGTGTGTAGCGGCCTCTTCCCCGGCGTTAGAAACTTCGGAGACGTGGGTGGATGGTTGTAGCGAATATGTGTATATAGATAGGGTATTTAAAAGATTGCGCTTTGACAGCCCATTTTTGTGGTGTTTGTGTATGTGACTTTGCATTATTTGATCCTCCCGGAGTTGATTGTTCACACTTCAGTTTTGTCCCTTTACTCATCCAGCGTGAGCAGACATCATTCGAAAGTTCATATCACCACACGGAGAACAACAGCATTGTAAAAGGTTTAGAGAATATTTAATATAATTTGTACTTAGTGAAATCGTTCATACAATGTCTTCAAGGTTGTAAGAGTCTACCCAAGGCGTAACGTTCTGAACCTACCCTATACTAAATACACTCTTTAAACCATCTTGATATTGCAATCATCTACTATTGTAAGCATGACACATCTCTGGCCCTGTTTCATTTGAGCTCTTGACCGTGACCACAGATATGTGATAAGTCCTAGTAGAAGTGTGATGTACTGCATACTTTCGTTTCAACATGCGCTTTCCATGTGATGACCACAAGATGTTTATCAAACCAAACAACTACCACCGAATAATGTTCCAATCAAGACTCAACTCAAAAATAGAACTTCAACAATCACTTCGGGGTTTTGTACTAATGAGGTTCAAGCGCCAGTGGAAACATATTTTGGTCTGTCAGCGGCGGCCAGGTTGCAGGCATATAGAGCAAGTGAGCAACTACGAAACAGATTCATCAAGCTAACCTTCAGTAAGCGCACACTGTGGCCGTAACAGAGACCTTCTGGTCCTGATTGCTTAATGGATCGAAGGAAATTTCGGACAATGGACGCTAACATTCCTTGGTGTTCAGCATGGCTCATAAGTAGTGAACTCAATACAGTCAACATTTGAAGTACCTCCCATGATGACCAGTCGGATGGAAGCAGAACAGTGGACTTCGCCATCAAGGAGTTTATGCTACTGCAGCCGGACTTCTCTTCCAGGAAGCTTTGGTCGTCGAGCTGTTTCACAATAAAGGGTCCTGATGGGGGCATACGGTCCAGACTCGGACCCATGCCGAGTTCGAGAAGAGTTTTCTGGGAAGCTGAACTGCGATCTTTTCTTGGCGGACCGTTGAGGTGGAATCACGATAGAGTGGCGTTCTAAATCGTCATGATAGAAGTCGACTGAATACCCCATGGTGGTATGTAGCAGCCTTGTTCTGCCTGTAACACTGTGAAAAACACCAGCCAGCCACTATGCCTCGAAACTGACATTCGTATCTAGATCATGACCGAGTGAAAATCGAAAATAGCTGCCGATCAAACATTCGAGTGGCAGCGAGGTGTTTGAGATATCCAGTCTGTTTGAATGAGGTTGCATCAGAAGATATCGATATGCCATATCTAGAAGTCAGACATGGCCAGGTTCACCAGAATAGTGTGCCAAGCAAGTGTGGTGAAACTATTCAGACCTTGCTGGCTTCGCCAAGGAACGTCAGAGAAGAATGCCCATTGCTCAACTTCCGCGAACACCATGACTCAAGCGAGGCATCGTGGTTGACTGTGCGTAAGGAGCAGGTAGGGTCGTATCTGCAGGAACAAGTGGGCGACTAAACCCCTGATACCCCGGAAACGAGAGTGTATGTAGTGACAAGTTTGATGAGCAACTTTGCAAGGCACTCGCTTCAAACTCTTCTGGAAGAGCTGGTGGCTGGTTGTCGAGTGTTTCATGTCTCTGAAGCAAAAAGCAGGGACCATTCTACGATCTCGGCGGTATGATGTGATCATCAAAGTCTCGCCTCAAACAACAAAAGCTCTGTTCTTTATGTGTTTTGCTGCAGGGTTCGGACAACCATCTCGATGGGTTCTTCTAGGGCCGAGGCCAAAGTTGCCTAGATTAATGGCCACAGATCTTGACGATGGCGAATAGTTTAACACGGAATCCCAACTTTGTTTCCCATATGCGACAGGTACACTTCTGTAGGAAGGTGACAATCAGCAGGGCAAGAACGTGGGTTTGATCGCTGGCCGGGGGTTCGGGCTGTTTCAGGTCAGTAGAGTGTACGGGTCGAAATAGTACAACAGACCAGATCTAAGGCTGGATACAGAAACCTCTCCCTTTGGCAGCTGAGTAGAAAGTCAGTGCAGTGCAGCTCACAGCTAAAGAAAGCATCCATATCGTTATTGTAGCATCGAAACGACAATCCCAATTAACAAGGCGGGCCTCCTAGAGCAACGCTGCAGGTGGACTAGTTGTTGACTGTGATATATGTCGAACCCAGCAAGTAAGCAGCCTTCCGGAACTATACTGTAGGTTCCGTTCCGCCTACACTCTTGGCGTTGAGGAAACAGAATCGGTCCCTTTCTGAACCCCTGACAAAGAGACTCGGCTAGCGCTGCAGTTGATGAGAAGGTCGGTTGTGCCTGGCTGTGCCTGACTTGGATAATGATATCTCAGTTTGGCTGACAATTGACAACCCTCGGTGAGCAAAAGCCCTAAGAATGGTCCACCGCCGGGTGATAACCCGATCGACAGCCACTACCGAGTGGATGAAATTTTGATTGCTTCTATTTATGGTCTGTAACGACAACACAAGGCGTCAGAACCAAGATGAAGCATAAATGTGAGGTTGGTGTGAAATCCTGATACATCCAATCGAGCAACCGAGACGCATCTCAAACTGGGCCCCTTGCGGGTCTTTACCAGCCGCCGACAGGGAAGCTCCTCAAAAGAGTGATTGGCTGATGTGAGATGCTCAACCTAAATTTGGACACCTCCAACTTTTGAAACGCAAGCGTTGAGAGCTGAATGGTAGCCCATTCGGTGGAGATCTTGGCTGTAAGTACCTGTGAGTGCTTCAGAATGACTACGGTCAAGAACCAGGCCAGATGCGATGAGGCCCAGTCCCTCCTTGATAGCAAGATTGGTGAGTTAAACGCTCATGTTTTCCCCTTTCCTTCCTCGTGCTGCGATCTGACAGGGGGACATGTCGCAATGCCAGTGTGTGCAGCGTGGTTGGAGTTGGTATGGGCCTGGAGCAAGGTATCAACGACTCGTGTCACCCAGAACAATAACAAGATAATATCCAATCTGCAGAGACAGCTGGGACCGTGTCATTCAAGACTTGCTGCGGCCCGCTACGGCGCGAATGAGAACCTTCTCACGTGCAGTTACACCTCCAGCAGGATAATTTTAAAATTACCCAGGGGTAATGCAGTCCATAAGAGCATAAGAGTCAATGCTACTTCATCGCGTTCCAAATTTGTGATAGTGAAGTGATTGTCTTATTGCTGCCGAGTAAGCTAAGTGTTGACCAGTCATAAACTCGTATTTATGAGAACTCAACGAAGCAAATGTTACTACTGATTGGAAGCTCGGTTCGAGATAGCTCACAATACTGGGCGTGCAAGCATTTCTTCATGATCAGTCATGTTGCGAGCAATGCTTATTATTACAATGACGTTGACGGTATCCAGGAGTTGACGGTATCCAGGAGTTGACGGATCCGCCAGGGAGCAAAGCAAAAACTTTTGTTTGGAGCCTCGTATGTAGTAGCGAGTAGAAATCTTCCTCATCTCCTGCCCATATGGATATATGAGTGATCATGAGGTGCAGGTACTGCATATTGATATCCCAGTTAAGGACAGGGAAGCCACATAATGGCGTATGCATTTCTACTATATTTCGGTGAGGCAACACTCTTGGGCCCTCCATAGGCTAGAACCAGCCAAGCTCTTTCAAGAAGGTAGATTCCAGGCGATGATGGCCTTGCATGCCGACTGTACATATGTACGAATAGAGAAGGGCTTGAATCGTTGTGGCCCACAACCGAAGGAGATGGACGGCAAACTGGAAACTAAACACCAATCGAAACTCATGAAAACCCATTCGGAATATTATCCAATCAGCGCATAAAATGCTTGCGATGATGCTACGTATCCCACTAGCCGCAAGACTGATTCGACCGTGGTGATAGAAAAGAGTGACCTAATGACCCAGCCTCTCTCTCGGTTGAGAAACTGGGATATCAAACAATTCAAAGCCATTCATGAAGGGGTGTGATGGTTTCAGATGCCTGGCATCATTGGTGCATAAGTCTTGAGATGAGGATGTGGTGTTTGATGCAGTCCTGCAGGCACGTTTCATCTTGACGAAAACGATGCCTTGACGCAGACCTGGTAGGGATGTGTGGACAAGTGACCCTGTTTAGTTGGAAAAAACATCCTTGTTTTGCATTAGTCTGCAGAAAAGGTCTGCGGAACCCACCGGCATTGTTGGCTAGAGCGGTGCTCACGGTTCGTGGATAGACTCCAAAGAAGATGGCGCAAAGTGGTCAGGTTAGAGCGGGAATCAATTTATGATGGTGGGATCTTCAAGACTCTGGGCGATTGTTTATCGAGCTGCCCTAGTCGTGGGCGCATCTCCCCGCTGGTCGGCTCTGGGATGCTGTTCTTAGCTGTGAACCCAGTTTCGACGAACTAGTGGCTTGAACTGAGTGATGAGGCCCACCAATATTGGGAAAGGTAGTGAGCCTTGGTCGAGTGACTTGTCCAAGTTTTGGGCAACAAAAGAATTGGCGAGAGTCAAGACATTCCGATCACTGCACTCAGCACCTTGTGGTAGTACATGTTGTAGTGCATTGTTGTTTCTCCACTTTAGATGGATAAAGTTTTGTTACTCTGGTAAGCTTGAATAATGAGTTCCATGTCGTGCATGCGACAGCCATCAGTGATCAGCCAGCAGCCGTATGTACCATGGCAGAGTAGCCTTAGTTGACGGAAAGAATGAACCTCAACTCCTTCAGCTGTGTTCGTTTGGAGGGATCAGAAGGGCGAACGGGCCCTCCATCTCGCTTCAGCTTGTTTTCGTGCTATACCAGGTGGTAATTAAACTCCCGCATATCCGTACGGCTTGGAAACATCTTCGTCAACCCCTTTTTGGCGATCAAGGAACAAACTTAATTTTTCTATTCTTGCTTTAATTCGTGCTGCACTCCAGACTGCCCGCTCGTGTCGTAATCAGGCAGCTTCGGCATTAAATGTGGTGGCATGGTGATATTCGACATCGCAGTCATTAAGACACGACTCGAGCGATCCATGGTAATTGACCGCTGTACTATAACATATAGTATAAGAGTGATCTCCGAGAATGGGTCTTGGGATCGTGATGGAAATTACGACTCTCGCACTGGCACAAGCCACAATATCTCGTTGGTATTTGCGAGAAACCCTGACTTTAAAGTTGCATGATAGAGAAATAAATAATAACCACAAATTGTCAGCCGAAGACGCTAATATCGATTTCTGGCTCGGCCTACTCTGACTAGCAGTAGTTGCTAATCTCTGAAAAACCCACTCTTGTGGTGCTGTGGTATAGGTGATAGTCTACATAATAAATGCCCCGAATTAGTTGAGTTCGACATGTAGTGCTGTCCGTTGAGAGAAATGCAAAGTCAGGCAACCCTTGGCTTTGCTGGTCATATTTGACAGGTCTATCGCGATCGAATCTTAGAGTTGGTAGTAGGTTCAATGCTGTTGGTCTAAAGATTAGCTCAAACATTTCAAGCCAGGCTTCTAAGAGTTCTTTGAGAGCCAATTGTTAGGCTGAGACAACCGGCAGGAAGCGGCCAGTCTGTAAGCAACTTGTATTTTATGTTTCAGGTTCCATGCATGCTCAAAGTCATCATCTCTTTCAGATAATCGTTGAGAGACAGTAATCAAAGACAAGAATGAGGACCGTTACCCACGTTGCGTATTAGCAGCAAATGTAACTCTGGATTTGTTTCCGCGACCCTTGTCGATCTCTTCGGCCTCGACCCTATTCAGTAAATGTTGTCCGACGCGGAAGGGAGCATAGATTGTTTGAAGCAGGGGCGTGGAACCAACCTATCGATGTCGTAGTAGTAATACAAACAGTCCTATAGGAAACAAGGGAGCCAGTAACAAAGACACTGGTTAGGTGTTGTTAATATCCATATCGATTCGCTCGCTCATCGCTTCCCGCCAGGGAACTGAGTGATCTCTTATAATGGAGAGTCAACGCCCGCCTACTACGCTCGGCCATATGCGAGAGTTCTTTGAGCAAAAGCCACTCGAACTGAGCTTCTGGACGCCTTCCGTACACTGATATGCCGGTGATATCAAAGCAAAATTGGCTTGGACACACTAACAACTAGCCAGGCCCACTTTTCGATGAATTGTTCAGTGCGCTTCATGGTTGCGAAGGTAGAGTCAACGTGTGAGATCTTCTTCATTTGACTTTGAAGTGGACGGTACTGTAAAGTGTGACACTGTACTGCACCGTATAGTCTTGATGTTTCGTGGTTCCTCCTCTGGCCATAGTAAAATGGCCTGTTTGATCGGATAGGGGCTTTGCAATCCTGGAAAAAATATAGAACAAACGTTTTAAGGCGGCGGTGAAAGTGGAACTCCAGGGACGGGGACGGAAGTGAAAGAATCTATAGAGCATCGCGAATAATGACATGGAGCAGAGGACTATCAAAGGATGATTTATGACTTCCTGGTGTTGTTTGCATGACGGCCGGGGAAAGAAAGAAAAGAGTCAGCCACACTGTGCCTTCCTAAGTCTGGAAAAACAGCAAGCCTCCACTGAACATGTTTGATTGGCACGATGTTACTTTCTGTTACTATAGCCCCGCTACTCCCGTTGTTGACGAGCAAGTCTTCCCCACCTGGGCCTTCCTAGAGGCACCGTGCGTGGTATGTGGCTGCTCTCCCGCCCTCGCAACGCCGTCGCTCGCTTTTCTCAGGCTGGCGCGTGCTCTAGAAGTCCAATCCCAACCTAATTGGAACCCACCCTACCTATCTCCACAGGCCTGCACCTGCCATCCATGCCAGGTACTTGCCCTTAGGTTACCTTCCTTGTCTTTTCCTTTTCATGGATGAGTGGGAAGGACATGGCTTGGCCGGGGTTCTCCTTCCACCTCTTGTCTCTCAACTCACTTGCCTTGCCTAACCTTGTTCTTGCCCGTCTGTCGGCGCGACCCTACGGATACGCTTGCTCTTTCCACACCAGCATCTCATTAAACCCCCGTATATCCTCGCTCGCCCACCCGTTCAGATTTCCCTTCTGAAATCTTTTCCTCTCGTCGTTTTGTTTTCCCTTCACTTTCCTCTCCCTACCTCCCCCTCCTCCCTCGCTCCTCGCTCCACACTCCCCGGTCTCATCCCGGAGTCGCTCTCAAAGTCGTTTCTCTTCCCATTTCAATAGAAGCTGTCTTCACCCCCAACGTCTCACGTTCATCGTCAACGCGACGCTTCCTTCTTTCGTTTCCACCTACGAAGCCGCTTGATGAACATTGCCCCTCGGCTCTGTTGATCTGTTTTCGCTTCTTGCTTTCTACTCTTTGCTTATAGCTTTAATCTGGCTCGATTGCTATCGCCTTCGAACCCCCACCATCGCCAACGCCTTGACGGTTGCTCCTCTACACGCCTCAACTGCATTCGCTTGACGCGGTTGCAGTCACGAATCGTATCGCGCAGCGATTCCATTATTCCGGGCTGGTCTCGAATTTTGGTCAATAAGCATCATTCCAACCGTCTTTATTCACTCGGACTCAGGCTGCGCCTCGACCATTTCATTTCACTCAACAAAACAAAGTTGTTCTCAACTGCTCAATTAAGAACCTCTGGTTGCGATTATCCAAACACTTCGGCTAGCCTCGACAACCATATTCGGCCGTCGAGCGCCATCAAATAGACTGACCAACCACGGTCACGTCACGGATTACTTTCACAACGCCACAAGATGTATTCGCAACACTCCGCAATGGCGCCTCAGAAGCCCGAAACATTTATGCTGAGCACTGAGGCCCAGCAAGCCCTTCCTCATGATGCCCAGGTCGCTCTGCAGCAAGTCGACAACTTGAAGTATTTCCTGATCTCTGCCCCTGTTGACTGGCAACCTGATCAGTACATTCGCCGATTCCTTCTGCCCACAGGCGAATATGTTTCATGTATTCTCTGGAACAACCTCTTCCACATCTCTGGCACAGATATCGTGCGATGCCTGTCTTTCCGATTCCAGGCTTTCGGCCGACCTGTCAAGAACTCGAAGAAATTCGAGGAGGGTATCTTCTCTGACTTGCGAAATCTCAAGTCCGGAACTGATGCTTCCCTGGAGGAGCCAAAGAGCGCCTTCCTCGACTTCCTCTACAAGAACAACTGCATCCGAACTCAGAAGAAGCAAAAAGTCTTTTACTGGTACAGCGTCCCCCATGATCGCCTGTTCCTTGACGCGCTGGAACGCGACCTCAAGCGGGAGAAGATGGGTCAGGAAGCAACCACTGTCGCTGTCAGCGAGCCAGCACTGTCTTTCCAGTATGACTCGTCTCAGTCGCTCTACGAGCAACTGACAAAAGCTCAACAAGCCAACTCATCATCTTTCAGCGCCCAGCAATCCGCTTTCTCCCAAAGTCAGTCCACGTCTCCCGTCATGCGAGCGATGGACTCGATGCCTCCTCCCCCGACAATGATGCCTCAGTCCATGCCCCCTTTGGCGGAGGGGATGGACGCAATGGTACCTTATGGAACGATGGCGGTGCATCACCCGATGCACCAAGCTGTCCCCGTCAAGAGGGAACCTGATTTTACCCGTGTTCAGTACAATCAGAACGGTATTCCCATCACGACAGGCCACCAGCGTCATGCGTCAATGCCCGCATATGCTCTCGAGTACTCTCCCGCCCCATCATTCGTCTCCTCCCAGTACGAGGACTACAGCAACCGAGGAATCTCCTTCGAACCCATCACGCCTCCGCAACAGGCGTTGGGTATCTCTGCTGAACCTGCGTATATCGCCAACGAGGAGACCGGTCTGTACTCCGCCATCCCAGATCATATGGCTAGCATGAACGGACTCAACGGCATGGTTCAGCTTCCTCCATCCAACTTGGCTGGCCCCCAGTTCTCTCGTCCCTATGGTACAAACAACGTCTACTCTGTGATCGAAGGTTCGCCGACATATAAGCAGAGAAGACGGCGTTCATCCATTCCCCCATCTATGTCGGCGATCGCGCCCCCAACTGCCCCTTCTCACCCAGCACACTCACACGTTCGTCGACCGTCTGATCTGCGACGGTCCGTTTCCGCTTCCGTTGGCCCCGTTGCTGAGGGTGATGAGTCTGCAGACAACTCACCTCCTGGCCTGTCATACAGCACTTCTGGCATATCGATGAACAGCCAACACCACCAGAACATGTCTCGACACGGAACTCCACTGTCTGCTGTTGAAGGAAGCCCCGCTACCCATTCTATGGGTCTGCATCAGGATTTCTCCCACCTCGCCAGTGAGGAATACAACGGCGACGGCTCATTGAGCGAGCAGCGACGATCTGCACCCGCTTCTAACGGTGCTGTCCGACGGGCTCGTTCCGCTACTGTTATGGAAGTTGGTCCTTATCCCCAGAAGTCCCACTCCTGCCCTATTCCCACCTGTGGCCGTCTCTTCAAGCGTTTAGAGCACCTCAAGCGGTAAGAACTCCATCTCCCAACACTTCACCTATTCCATACTGATCTGTTTACCAGACACGTCCGAACACACACACAGGAGAGACCCTATGTTTGCCCTCACTGCAGCAAGGCCTTTTCAAGATCCGATAATTTGGCACAGTATGTTTTGTCGTCTTTCCTTTGATGTACATCCACTAACAATGCTCCTAGACACAAGCGCACCCATGGTCGCGAAGACGGCGGTGACGGTTCATTACACCTGTCTGGTGATGAAGAGGAGGACTTCTCCGGTGATGACCATCTCGGCTCATTGGAAGAGGCTTCCCCTCACTCTGACAGTGCATACGTGACGGGCTCGCTGAATACTGCCGCTCATGGCTCGACTCCCCCTTCAAGCAATGCACCCACACAAACCTTCAACAGCCTCGAAACCCTTAGCATGCCCATGACAATGAGCCAACCGGCTGCTATCAACGCTAGCGGCATGATGTAACGGTTGAATTATGTACGACTTTGTCATTTTATTTGCACACAGTTCATGACTACAAGGGATTTATGGCTTCAATTTTGGCGGCAATCTGCAACGGTTTTTGCGTGCACTCTGCTTGACTTTCCTATGTTCATATTTTACTACATTTATTTTTTTGGTTGGAAGCGCTCATCGGTGGTCCAAAATATGGTTTTGATAGACCCATGCTGTGGTAGCTGGGACAAGCTTCTGATGAAGGGCTGTGGTCATCATGAAGACAGCATTATGTTGAGGAGTGTCAAAGGATGCATCTATATATAAATAGTTGCCGTTCTTTGATGATTGTTAGAGTATTTAGATATCCTGTGTGGAAACCAATGCTAGTGATCGAAATTGATCCGGAGCTTGGCAATTAGAAGAAAAACTTGTATGATTTTACATATTACCCAAATCTTTCCGTGTTATCAGATGGCGAAATGACAATATGCGCTGTGTAGTTGTGCTGATGACACGAATATACTTCTTGAACAAGTAGCCTTATCGTCTTCCCCTTCTGCCAAAAGTATCTCTTGTTCCCTCTATGCCTTTGATGTCTTTATCGCTCAGACGTAACTCAGCTCCTCTGAGTCTGCCAACACCGGGTCGATCAACCGCCATGTCTCTTCTCCGATCTTGACGTCCTTTCTTTTTACCAGTTTCCCTCTCGAGAATAATACCGTTCTCCTTGGCCTCTCTTCGTCGTTTGGCTTCGCGCGCATCTGCTGCAGCCACAATCCCTTTGCGCATGTTCATGGGCATCTTCTCCTGTTTATGAATAGATACCTTGGATCCTAGGGCCTGGACGCGCATGTCTGTGGCCTTCTGACGAGTACGACCAGCAGCGAACGCCTTTGGCGCCACGGTTACGCCAGAAGCTGAAATAGTGGGAGCGAGGAGGTGTGATTCTGCAATAAGTCGACGAAGTTCAAGATCCTGAGCGAGGAGAGAAGGTGCGTCTTCGGGGAGGTCGTTCAGTGAGGATGGTGTGGCTGCAGGTGTGGGTTCGGATTTGGTGAATGTTTGGTCTGGAGGGCGCGATGACTGGTTATGTATGTTAGTTTAATATCTCGTGGTTACCAATAAAATCTGGTATTACCATGAAGGCCTTTAGTTCTCGTTTGGACATTGTGGCTGGCATTGTTGGTTGTTTTCCAGAATGGTCCACGACCTCTATCACTAGAGACTGCTCTTCCTCTTCCTCTTCACTGGAGTCTTCGCCGGAGAGGCCACCCCATTCACCGTCGTCCTTATTATCGCTACCATCGTCACTGCTGCTGTCGCATCCTTCGATATCGTCGCTTTCGTGGCTCTCTTTGTCATGTTTCGTCTTCTTTGAACTGGATTTGGGTTCCTTCGCATCGGGCAATGGTGCGAACTGCGCTTCGAAATGTCGGCGGAAGATGGCAGCGGCATCCTCTTCAGAGATTGTAGGCTCAGAACCAGCTTTGCGCTTGCCCAGGATAGCCATAGCAGGCAGATTTAGTCTGTAGAACGTTGTTAGGACGAAAAGTTGGGTTATGATGTTGAATGGAAATTTTTTGTTATGCTTTTCAGCCTTGCATTTCTCTACAAGGCTGCCCCACCATTCGATTCACATGGCATTGAGCAACATCGACGGTTTACTTACAATTTTATGCCAATATTCACACTGGAGTCAACTTTAGGATGATTGAGATGCCAATTTAATCTTGGAGCATATGAGTTAAGTTAGTATGGCCATACCTTGTTTCGTCTCAAGTCTATCGATCAAATATTTAACCCGTGGTATCATACCCTTAACGCCAGTAAGAAACAAAACCTAAACTTTTCCAGCCAGCCTCGCCCTTCTTGAATCTTCCTCTCTCAGTGCTTCACTCTTGGCCAAGAAGTCTTCTCTTGCCATGTAAGAATCCTTGGATTTGCCTGCCAGCGCCAACTCGTCCTTGATACCCTCCTTGTCCACATAGCCAGCCCAATCCATGCGACTTTTGTCCACGACATTGAGCTTTCTGGCCTGGACCTCCTTGCTAGCCTTGATTCGTGCGGCCATTCCCAGATTCAGGTCGGATCGCTGAGGCATGAGGTCCACTTGAGGCTCAAAAGCAGACCTGAAAGCTTTCCTTGTGGCACGCTTTTCGGGGCTGCCTGTTGAAGGGGTATCGCCCTGCGAGGCAAGGTAGAGCTTTGCCTCAGCTGAGTCGCGCGCAACAAGTTTTTCCTCCGTATGCACCCGACCAGCGAAATTGTATGTTCGCTTGATACGTATCATCGCTGAGGGATCATCTGGATCAGTTGAGCCCGTCGTTTGAACGGTTGACTCTATTTTCTTGTTTGTGGGAGCGGTGCTTATATCTGTATCGGTGGGTTCGTCGGCCTTGGTCCCGGGGATGGGCGTCTTGGCTATCATTTGCGACCATAGCGCATCTACGTCGATAGTGACCGGCTCACTGTTGGCGGTATACTTGCGTTCCTCTTTTCTATGATCTGAAGTCAGTGGAATTGCTGAGAATATCGCACAATATAAGCTTACTCTGCGGCGCGCTGTCTCCGGGTCTTGACCAAACCACCCTCACCACCATCTTCGTCTTCATCCACTCCCTTCATCTGTGTCTTTTTACGGCGCTTCTCACCCCTTTTTATGATTGCCTCGTCACCTGAATTATCGTAGCCTGCATCGGCAGTGTCCTCGTCAGCCGCGGGGCGACTCCGTTTACTAGATGCTTTGTCGCCTTCATCTTTCTCGTCCTCTACGTCAGATTGATCAGAAACTTGATTGGGCGCATCGTCAGGAGCAAAGTCGGAGTCTTCTGATGATGCATATTGCTCGTCTTCGTCTAATAGCGGATCTGGTGGCATTTTTGTGTCATAAAAAGATGTTGAAAGTACGCGCCTACTGGAGAACTGGTCGCGTAATGTACAAACTTGGAGGATAAAGAATGTCGCTAATCGGAAAGCGGGCCAAGATGAACAACCAATCGGCTATTTGACATCTGTATCACAACAATTGACAGGAACAAGTAGAGGCACGATTTAAGTGAAGTGTATATATATACCTGGTAAACAGAACGTGAATATGTCACCAATGCACTTGGTACAATTATATAGAGGAAACCCGAGAGTTCCATGTGGTATTTGCGAGTCGTAGTGGGCTATCAGGGCCTCATCTGCTCATATTGGTATTTTACCTAGAAGTTTTCAATAGTGACCATGTTCAACACATTGAATAGAAAAAGCTTAACTTGGAACCAATTCATACATCATTTTAGAGTGCCCTTAGTTACAGTTACCGTTCAGTGGGTTAGAACTAGCCATGATTCGTGCCGTAGAAGCGGTTGAGAGAGGTGTGTTGTCCTACGTCAATTTAATGTGTTTTTAGACCGAAAACCTAAGACCTGCCGGTTATTGGAGAGTTGCTTGCATGGATGGAAAAGAAGGACGTACATCCATGTAAGAAACATGTCTGATGATCTATGTATGTATTTTCGAACTCCACCTGGCGGTGTAAAAGCCGTCCAAGTTCACGACTACATCTCACGATACGAAACGCTTGAGACATTGAGAACCTTGACAGGGTAGAATAATTCGACATAGCGCCGATATTACAGTCTGTGAAAGTGATCCTACAAGGACACAGAGGGTGAAACTGTTAATTCATTAGAGTTAATGTCACTAAAATGTGCAACAATACAAACATGTTCAATCTATGTCGACTGCCTCAATGAGCTAATAAAAGAACCGGGGCGGTGGACAAACCCAACCAGCACCACCCAAAGCCAAGCTGCTCAAACAGACCAAACCAGACAGACAGACCGCCCGCATGCCTACCCTGCCTGCCTACTGCCACTCTCTTTGATAAACCTTTCCCACCCTTCTTCTCCCCACCTAACCTCCTACTTCTCTCACGCACTTTGGCGACCTACGACCGAGCAATTCGCCATGAGTTCTGACGACGATTTCGAAATCGAGGTGCCCGACCTCGCGGCAGACGATCCCATGAGAGCATTTCTACCGACGACTTTTGGAAAGAAGTCGAAAGAAGCCGACATCGCTGCCCAATTCGACAGAAGTCGCAGGACAGTGACCAGTAAAGCCCCGGAAATCAGTAGTGCACAAGCCCAGGAACCCAAGAAGAAGGGTAATTCGAGCGACGATTCCGACAGCGACGACAGTGACGACAGTGACGACGATGACGAATTTCCTGTATCGCACGAGCTTGTTCTCAAAACTCATGACCGCGCTGTAACTACCGTTTCGCTCGACCCTGCAGGAGGACGCTTAGCAACTGCTTCCACAGACTGCACCATTAAGCTGCACGACTTCACCTCCATGACTCCCTCCACTCTGAGGGCTTTCCGCTCCATCGATCCATACGAACAAAAGGCATCCGCTGCAAGCTCTGAGTCGCATCCCGTCCATCGCATCGAGTTCAACCCGCACGCTGGAGGAGTCTTCCTCTGCGTCTCAGCGCACCCCCAAGCGAAAATCATGTCTCGGGATGGTGACATCGTTACAGAATTCGTAAAGGGAGATATGTATCTTCGTGACATGCACAATACCAAGGGCCACATTTCCGAGATTACAACTGGAACATGGCACCCCACTGACAAGAATTTATGTATTACTGCTGGCACCGATAGCACATTGAGAATATGGGATGTCAACAACAAGCGATCCCAGAAGGACGTTATCGTCTTCAAATCCAAGGCTGCTGGCTCCGCGGGCCGCACCAAGATGACCGCGGTCGCATGGGGATCTTCAGCCCAAGGTGGCAGCAATGTGCTTGTTGCATCAGCTCTTGATGGCTCGTTAGTCATGTACAGCGGCAACAGTCCTTTCTCACGACCCGCAGGAGAGATTCGCGATGCCCACAAGCCCCAGACTTGGACCAGCGGTATCGACATATCGTCAGACGGTCGCATGGTGGTCACGAGAGGAGGTGACGGTTTGATTAAGCTATGGGACACTCGCAAGTTCACCAAGCCTCTCGTCACAGTGTCTCATACATCTACCTCGGACCACTACTCAACAAGTAACATCAAATATGCGCCAAACTCGACAAGTATCATCACAGGCTCCGTTACGGGTCACCTCCATATCCTAAACCCCGGCAATCTGCGCGCGGAACACGTCACTCCAGTAACGCCTGGGTCACCACTCATCACAGTTGATTGGCACCCAAAGATTAATCAAATTATCACAGGTTCAGCTAACGCCGAAACCCACGTTTTGTACAACCCACAGATGTCGAGCAAAGGAGCTGTAGATGTCATGTCACGAGCACCGAAGAAACGCCATATCGACGACAATCCGGAATTGACCATGGACCAGTCGGTCGGTGTATCTGGCGATGCCATCATGGTACCAGGCGCCTCAGGAGGCTCAAGGAAGTCCGGTGTTACAGTATCTGGCCGATCTAAGGATCCTCGACGCCCGTACATGCCTCAACAAACCCCGCTGCAGAAGAACGCACCCGACGAGAAGTCTATCGCAGAAAATATTCCTCTTGCACGCATGTTGCACGAAGACCCTCGAGAAGCTTTGCTGAAGTATGCAGACAAGGCTCAGAATGACCCAATGTTCACCAAAGCTTGGAGCAAGACGCAGCCTGAAACCCAGTATGCGGAGCTCAGCGATGGAGAAGACGGCCCTGACAAGAAGAGGCTCAAGAGGTGAGAGCACTAACGGTCGTTGGGAGACGCTATGGGGGTTTAACAAGGTTTTTGGGATGCGAAAAGTTCAGACCAGAGGCCCATAAGCATCCCTAACTCATTGTAACACTGCCGTGTCTCTGTCATTCCATCAAAGTATCAGGCCGCTGGGGCGCCTCAACCGCCTAACTGCGGACACTGAAACCATTTTATAGACCGGAGCGAACGACACCATTCAAGTACAGGTGTTTATTCGCTATTTCGGTCTCGCATTGTTGCACTCCCAAAACGCCTGTTCTGAGAACATGCCATGGGGCGTTCAAGGATATCACGTGCATGTAGTTTTAGTTAACCAATTGGGACAGTGGATTCCTGATTACTTAATACATATATATGGCTGCCTCAGGCGCCTTTGCATGAAATACGGTCGCGGTTGCCTTTTGCAGGGGGGTCGTGCTGAAAAATACTGTGACGGAGCGACTCAGAACTGCACCAACCGTCACGCCGCATCTTGTCCAGCTGTGCCTTCACCACTCCCCATCATCAACCGGCGAGCGCGCGCATCCAAAAAATCGCCAGGGCCATTTCAAACCATCGGCTCTCATCTCGAGAAACCACCAAATCCGTGTTGCACGCGATTTGCACACAACTTTGGTCTTTTGTACCGGTTCCCAACGCGCCGTGTTGCCACATCGCATACTTTTCCTTCAATATCCAACCTTTCTTTGGAACTTCGAGTTTCCATCTCGTGCCTCCAGCAACCAACCCATCTAGCCGCGTTTCCAATTTGGAGGTTGCGGTCCACACCACAGCTGTCCCACGCGCTATTCACGACGTGTCGCCTACTTTTTGACGACGCCTTCTTGAGGTTTCCAAACCATTGGTTTTTCAATTTCGATTTCGACGCGTTCATTCTCGCCCCTGTTTTACTATTACGCTTCACTCTCGTTTTCGCGACAATCAAGCTTGCTATACCACGCGCGACAACTATCGCCTATACCTCCACGATATGCGATATAGGTAGCTGTGACTGCTCAATCTAATCATTCCACTCAACTGTCACAGGGCTTCGCGGCACAGGTAACCTCACCATGGCCTCGGTGCATGCATCCCCCGCGGTTCAGCATCCTGGCGCGCCAATGCCCACTGGCGCGACTAAGCAGCAGGCGGAAGAAGTTTTTAGGGTATGGCTTTCTTCAATTACGCTGTCAGATCTTTCGACTTTGATTCCCCGTGCTGATGCATCCTGTAGAAACTTAAGCAGATGAAGGAACAGGGCGTTCCACCGACGGATCCCGAATACATCAAGGCTTCACAGTTCCTGATGAGCTTCCAACAACAGCACAACATGCGACGTAACCAGCAGCAGTTTATGCAACAACAACAGCAAAAGCAGCAGATGCAAAACGCGACCAATGGTGCGTCTGCCAATGGTATAATGCCTGGCCGACCTCTCCAGCAAAGCTCACCACAAGCGGCTCAGCCTGCGTCTAACACACTCAACGCATCCGCAATGCCGACCCAGAGTTCCTCCACTCCAGTTTCTGCTGGCGCCTCACCTTCGACCGGCTCATCTTCGAATCACTTCACCCAACAACAACTAGGGCTCTTGCGACAGCAAATCCATGCGTTTAAACTACTTGGAAAGAATGCTGGAGTATCGCTACAGTTGCAACAAGCCATCTTCAACCAGCGTCAGCGCAGGCAAGCGGCCATTGCCGAAACTGCTCAAGCAGCACAAGCTTCAAAAACCGATTCTGATCCCAAAGACGCGCAAAATGGACCCGAAGCTTCAACCGAAGATGATAGCTCAGAAATTCCCAAGGCGCACGTCTTCAAGACAGTGAAATCTCCATATGGCACAAGCATGATTCGTCCTGAGATCAAATACTTTGACCACTCGCAGCGAAAGAACAGATGGTTCATTCCTGGTGTCTTTCCTACAGGCATTGATTTCGATCACTTGCGATATGAGCGAGAAGTCGTTGTTTCGAACAGGATGAGACAGCGCTATGCTGAGTTGAAGAACCTACCTGGTGATCTGGCTCATTGGGATTCCTCCAAGGAAAACCTGGAGGCTGATGACTCTCTCAAACGCAAGGCGATTATCGAGATGAAGAGCATTGCTTTGTACGCTAAGCAGCGAGCACTTCGGGATAAGATCGGGCGACAAATGATGCATTATGATAATCTCGCAATGACAACCAACCGATCCAGCTATCGCCGAATGAAGAAGCAAAATGTCCGTGAAGCTCGCATCACAGAGAAGCTTGAGAAACAGCAACGTGACGCCCGGGAGAACCGTGAGAAGAAGAAGCACACTGACTTCCTCCATGCCATCACCAGCCACCGAAAAGAGATCCAGGAATCGGCTTCCTCTCAACGCACCAAATCACATAAGTTGTCTCGTCTCATGTACCAGCAACACTTCAACATTGAAAAGGAAGAGCAGAAGCGTATTGAGAGAACGGCCAAGCAACGTCTGCAAGCCCTCAAGGCTAACGATGAAGAGGCGTACCTCAAGCTTCTTGACCAGGCCAAGGATACCCGTATCACACACTTGCTCAAGCAGACCGACGGTTTCTTGCACCAACTTGCCTCTTCCGTCAAAGCACAGCAGCGCCAGGCCGCCGAGCGATATGGCGATGGCGAGGAGCTGCCTGTGGAAGACAACAGCGACTATGACGAGGACGACGAGAGCAACAAGAAGATCGACTATTATGCTGTGGCACATCGTGTTCGTGAGGAGGTTACTGGACAAGCTGACATGCTCGTCGGCGGTAAGCTCAAGGAGTATCAGGTCAAGGGTCTGCAGTGGATGATTTCGCTGTACAACAACAACCTCAACGGTATCTTGGCTGATGAAATGGGTCTCGGAAAGACGATTCAAACCATCAGTCTAATTACCTATTTGATTGAGCGAAAACAGCAGCCAGGCCCCTATCTCGTCATTGTGCCTCTCAGTACACTGACCAACTGGAACCTGGAGTTTGAGCGATGGGCACCTTCCATAAACCGCATTGTTTACAAGGGACCCCCCAATACCCGTAAGCTACAACAGGATAAGATCCGACAAGGCGGATTCCAGGTTCTGCTCACAACCTACGAATACATCATCAAGGACCGACCTATTCTCAGCAAGATTAAGTGGTTCCACATGATTATTGACGAAGGTCACCGAATGAAGAACTCCAACTCTAAGCTGAGCTATACCATTCAGCAGTACTACCACACCCGTTTCCGACTTATTCTTACTGGTACACCATTGCAAAACAATCTGTCAGAACTGTGGGCCATGCTTAACTTTGTCTTGCCAAACATCTTCAAGTCAGCAACAACTTTTGATGAATGGTTCAACACCCCCTTTGCCAACACAGGTGGACAGGATAAGATGGAACTCACGGAAGAAGAGCAGATTCTTGTCATCAGGCGTCTTCACAAGGTTCTGCGACCCTTCCTTCTGCGTCGTCTGAAGAAGGATGTCGAGAAAGATCTTCCCGACAAGACAGAAAAGGTTATCAAGTGCAAATTCTCTGCACTTCAATCCAAGCTCTACAAGCAGATGGTTACACATAACAAGCTTGTCGTTAGTGACGGCAAGGGTGGCAAGACGGGTGCTCGTGGTCTCAGCAACATGATTATGCAGCTGCGAAAGCTTTGTAACCATCCATTTGTGTTTGACGTTGTTGAGAATGTCATGAACCCTCTCAACATCAGCAATGATCTGTTGTGGCGAACAGCCGGTAAATTTGAGCTGCTGGATAGGATTCTTCCCAAGTACGAAGCAACTGGCCATCGTGTCCTCATGTTCTTCCAAATGACTGCCATCATGGACATCATGGAGGACTACCTCCGATACAGGCGAATGGAGTATCTTCGATTGGATGGTACGACCAAATCCGACGAGCGTTCCGACTTGCTCAGGGAGTTCAATGCCCCAAACTCCAAGTACTTTATATTCCTGCTTTCGACCCGTGCGGGTGGATTGGGTCTCAACTTGCAAACGGCTGATACAGTCATCATCTATGATTCCGATTGGAATCCTCACCAAGATCTGCAGGCTCAGGATCGTGCCCATCGTATTGGTCAAAAGAACGAAGTCCGAATCTTACGACTTATCAGCTCCAACTCAGTCGAAGAGAAGATTCTTGAACGAGCACGATTCAAGTTGGATATGGATGGAAAGGTTATTCAGGCTGGTCGTTTTGACAACAAGTCATCAGAAACAGATCGTGATGCCATGCTTCGAACCCTGCTGGAGACAGCTGACATGGCCGAATCGGGTGAACAGGATGAAATGGAGGACGAAGAGCTCAACATGTTGTTGGCACGTAGCGATGACGAGATAACGGTCTTTCAAAAGCTCGACGAGGAACGAATGAGGACCTCACCTTACGGTACTGGACCAGGCACCAAGGCTCGACTGATGGGTGAGGATGAATTGCCCGAGATTTATTTGAACGAAGGCAACCCTATGGACGAGGAGACTGAGGAGGTCATACTGGGTCGCGGTGCTCGCGAACGCACTAAGGTCAAATACGACGACGGTCTCACTGAAGAGCAATGGCTGATGGCAGTGGACGACGACGATGACTCTCCTGAAGCGGCTGCTGCTCGCAAACAAGCCCGCAGGGACAGGCGCGACAACAACAGGTTAAAGAAATCCGCAATCCTCAACTCGATGGATGAGTCGCCTTCTGGCAGTAGAGCAAGCACTGAGGAGATCGAGATCGAGATCGAGATCGAGACACCGAAGAAACGAGGGCGCAAACCAGGTAGCAAGAACGAGAAGCGCAAGGCTGAGGATGGCAACGATGAGCCGCCTGCTAAGAAGCGACGTGGACCTCAAGGTCGACCTAGCAAGGTTAGCCTTGAGTCACGAATTCCAGCTCATCAGCGAGAAGTGCTACAGAAGAGTCTTCGCAGCCTTTATGATGGTCTAATGACACTGGAGGTGGATGATATTGAACCCCCAGAAGATGACGAGTCGGATCCCGGCAAGCGTCTCATCATTGGACCCTTTATCAAATTGCCCCCTAAACGCGACTATGCCGACTACTATCTCATCATCCAGAATCCTATTTGTATGAACCAGATTCAGACCCGAATCAAAAAGGAAGAGTACACCTCGTTGAGCGGGCTGCGGAAAGACATCGAACTGATGATCCGCAACTGCCAAACGTACAACGAGGATGGAAGCATTCTGTATCAGGATGCTAAGATCATGAACGTAAGTGACCCCTTGTCCCGTTTACACTTGTCACAATGCCTAACTATATGCAGGAATTCTTCAACTCCAAGTACCAAGAGGAGCTGGCAGGGCACCCTGAACTTCAAGAACTTGAAGAAGGGGGCAAGGACAGTTCAGTGGCGCCCTCTGGCAGCGGCGGCACACCTCAACCCAGTGGCACTCGCATCAAGTTGATTTCAAATAGCGCAAAAGAAGCGAACGGCGGTAGCACTGCCGCACAGAGTGACGAAGAATGAAGGACGTGATATTGAGAAAGCTCAGTGCCCTTAATCCCCAAAAAGGGTCACAAAACGACCTCTAAAGTTGCATCGCCGTTTGGGGCGATTGTTTGATGATATATGCAATGGCGTTGGGCAGGACAGGTGTCAATAAACAAATATGCGGTCGAGGGCAGAAGGGGAGATTCAATACCACCATAAAGATGCATGAATCGGAGCTCTTTGATGGGTTTTCCAAAGAACTGCTTTGGACTTTGGAATGCGTCGAGCCTGCAAGGGACGGCGAAACTGCATTACATATTTAGATAAATTAGTAAGATGTATTTTAATAGAAGCTTGACATGTTGTCACTTTCATCTGGTGGAATAATCGGCAACAGCTCTATGGTGATTATGAATGAAGTAAATCATTGTAGCCATAGATGTTTAAGCCAAAATGTTTGACAGTTTCAGTTACATAAAGTCATGTGTCTTGAGTGTAGCCTTTGCCAACTCAACTCAAACATATCCTTATTTGTCACATCTTCCCAACACAAACAAGCATAAACCTTCAAGCAATATCTCCCTTTTTTGCTACATCGGGTTAGATGGGAAGGGCTTAAAGATGAAGAAGACATTGCTTCTTTGTTTTATTCATGGCTTCAAGGTGTGTCATGTCTGCCCCTTCCCCGCATTATCCTCTTCCGAGTCGTAATCAGCTTAAACTAACGCTGGTCAAGGGCGGCGAAGACACTTTCGGTGTTGACTACCAGTTTACCCAGGACCTGAGTGACTTAGTGAGGGAGGCTCTGCCAAAGGTCAAAGTTGAGTCGATCGTTTATCCCAAATATGAGACTCGTGGGGATTTGGGCAGCTGCGTAAGCCGTTTTCGTGACTGGTATGTATTCACTCATCTTGCTTGCTATCTAGAGTCAAGGCAATATCGATTAATGGAATCGTTTGTAGGCTGCAGGACAAGGTCATCGACATGGAGGTCGCAGCTGGTACGCCATCGCCAACGATAGAGCCTTCAGTGCGCACCATTCTCATCGGCCACTCCATGGGCGGCATCGTGGCGGCTGAGATGCTTATCGGCCTGGCCTCTGAGAAGCCCATCTACACCGAAGACGGCATTCAAAAATCCGAGTCACCTAGTTTCAACACGCTCATGTTTCCCTACATCCAGGGTGTTCTCGCCTTTGATACTCCTTACCTGGGTATTTCTCCCGGTGTGGTGGCACATGGTGCTGAGGACCAGTATCAAACCGCTTCGCAAGCTTTTGGCGCCATCTCGCAGCTTAGCGGACTTGGTGCATCACTCTGGGGTGCTAAACAAGCTGCATCACCCACAACAACCCCAGCCCTCCCAAAGACAGCTGGGGCTCTACCAGCTCCCTCAGCATCTGGTGGCAGTCAGTGGCAGAAATGGGGTAAAATGGCCATGTATGCTGGCGCTGCTGGCGCTGTGGCTGCCGGAGGTGCAGCTGCATGGCTGAACCGTGATCAACTGGGCGAGGGATGGTCCTGGGCATCTTCACATCTGGAGTTCGTGGGATGCCTTGCCAGGGGAGAAGAGCTTCGCAAACGTGTGTCGTGCCTCCTCCAGTTGCGGGAGGAGCTAGACGTAGGTTTTGCGAATCTGTACACTCGTCTCGGAAAGGCGGCGCCATCAAAGGAGGTCAACCTTGTTGGAACAGTTTTGGGTCAAGACCGGACATTTTGCAATCTTCCTAAGAAACAGCCTGGGGGAGTATGGAAGGAAGCCATCAATGACAAGGCGAAAGATGAGGCCGGGGCACACATGAGTGAGTTGCACATCAGATATGAAGAGTTGGTTTATGTACTAATGCACACATTCAGATATGTTTACTCCAGAAGAGAACCCAGGATACAACAAGCTGACCCAAGATGCCACCCAACTCATTTACGATTGGTTGCAGAACAGTTGGTACCAGACAAGTGCTGAAGAACCACTGCTTCTGAAAGAGGCACCAGCACCTGAAGAAAGGCCTTTACATGTGGAAAAGTCTTTACATGAGGAAAAGCCTTCGCATGAGAATAACCCTTGGTCCGAGGACAACCCTGCTACTAAAGATGCAGGCATTCAGGAGATCCTTTAACATGTTTTCTTTTTCTATTTGATAAACGGCTCCCCTAGACTCTATGTATTACTGGACCAGATAAATGGCCCGTATCATTTATCCCAATGAACAGTAAATCGGTCACGTTTTAAGGTCCATCTTTATATTGCCGGTGACTTTTGTTTATTGGGCCTTCTGACCCTGAGCCTTCATGTTGCGCATAACCTTGCGCCTCTGGGTCATCATGTGAGAGTACAAGACATACGATCCTATATAAAGTCAGTTTCAAGCTTCAACACCCATTTTTTTTTTTTTTTTCAAAACTAACCAGGAACGTAGATAGCCAAAATAGCCTGCAGAGCAAACTTGTACAGCTCATTGAGGTGGCCCGCAGGCGCGGTGGCCAACCAGATGAGCCAGCACTCGCTGAAGATACCAACAGGGTAGAGCACGAAGAAGGTGTTGTATCGCAACCAAGTAAGGAACTTGGGCTGGAAACCGGAAAGCGTGAGGGCGAAGAAGGAGTATCGGATGATCTCGGTGACGGACCAAGCGATGAGCATGGACGAGTAGAAAGGCGAGAGGGCGAGGAAGGGGAAGACGTCGACGACGGCCCAGACGAGGAGGAAGCGAGACGAGACTTGCATGAGCGTTGTGAAGAGAGGAGCGCGAACGACGCCTGATAAGAAGTATACATGTTAGTATAATATTCTGGTTTTAGAGAGATAGATCGTACCGAGCAGAGAGTGCAATACTTCCAAGCCAGCCAAAGTCTGCGTCCACTTTGTGAATTCGCCAACATTGGGATAAACATACTCAGGGCCATGAAGGCCGAGAAGCATAACAGTACGACCAAGCACAGCGGACCATAGAACAGCTGAGACAAAGTTGTAGAAGATCAGATAGGCCTTGTTAGCGGTTGAAGCTGGTTTCAGGGGCCGCTTAGTAGTAGCAGCAGCGTTGGCGGCCATTGCTGTAGAGTTCTGAAGTAGCGATTGAATAGATGGAGACTACGAAGGGACCAGTTGGATTGAAAGGCCAGACGATTGGAAAAGAGGTTGAAGTTTTGTATATGTACAGATATTCAAGATGGGAGAATAGATGTTGAGGAGACCATTTTACTTTGGATGTAGCTAGCTTCCCCATTGGGTTTAACGTGCTCCTGTCAGTGGTTTTGGTGGGGGTAGGGACGGGGATAGGGGATTTACCACTGTATTCAGGTACGTCGGTACCTGAATACAGAACATACTGTAAGTAATAACACTTGTATAAGAGATAGTCAGAGTGGTCAAGCCAGGGTTGCTCATGATGCATATCCCAACAAGTCATCTCTAGGTCAAGTTGATCTACAGGCATATAAAAACTAATCATTTCATTTCTGGAACCAATCAAATACGTCGAATTTATTTCTACATCAGTACGTAGCAGTCAATCTCTGGACAAGATAGTCACCACTATTGATGCCACCATACTTCTTGTCCTTCTCCGTCTCAAAAGTTCCCGGAATAGCCTCGATGAAACTCTTGAAGTTGGGATTACAAAAGTATCTGCCCTCGGATTAGTCCAGACCCCAAGATTAGTCATGTGCTGATCGGTTACTTACGCAATGCTGTAGCGCGGAGGATAAGATTCTGCCTCCTTCTGTGGTGGCTCGACAACTCTGTGAATAGTACTCTTGATCATATCATTGCTCCATCTGGCGAGTAGATCGCCAGCATTGACGACCACGGTACCTTCGATAGGAGTTGCATCGACGAATTGACCCGTCGGGCTTTTTACTTGTAGTCCACCTCGAGCGTCTTGGAATAGGAGAGTGATCGAACCATAGTCCTAGTCTGTTAATAACCTGAGCTTGGTTATAGGATAGCCACTTACACTGTGTTCTCCAGCTCTGACAGTGCCCGGATTCATCTTGAAAACATTAGACTGGACAGAAGGATAGTGCAATAACCGCAGCGTATTATCCCCGACATCAACGAAACTATCAAAGAAACCATCGTCAAGGCCCATACCAACAGCGATGGCTTTCATGACCTCAACATGCAACTGGCGACACTGCTCAAAGAACCCGAGCATGTCCTTTCGGAAACCCACAAGACCACCACTCTCTTCAAGCCAATGGTTCGGGTGTCCAGCTTCGTTTTCGCGGCCAATCTCAAGACTCTCTTTTATGTCTGGCAAAGCAGCGCGTATCTTCTCAACGTCGGCCAGGTCAGTGAGTTGGCTGACTTTCTCTCTGCCGGGAGCTGAGTAGCCTCGATTGGCTTCTGGTGTGGTCCAAACAACTTTCAGCTTGGACTCGAGAGGTTGTTCAAACCAGCCCGCGGACATGTCAAATGCATGCTGCAAGTCTTTTGGGGCTATGGGATGGTTCTTGAGGTAGATGAAGCCAGCGGTCTTGAAGCCTTCGAGAATGGCATTTGCAGTGTCGTTCCGTTCCGAAGGGGTTCCAGCAAGGAATCGAGAGAAATCAATAAGCTTTGGATGGATTAATGGTAAGAATTCTTAAGACCTAAGCTTGACATACGGGAATTGAGAGACCCTCTTTGCTCACAGCAAGATCCGAGGCCATGGTATAAGTTGGATAACACAAGTTGTCTAGAGTTTTTGATTTATTAAAGAAAAGAAACCAGCTGAAATCTCCTAGAGAATCACAGCATTCAATGCAAAGTCATGTTATAGAGAGCTATTGCTTCGCCGCACAACAACGGCACCTTCCAGTTATATACAAACACCAGATAATGCTTCTGGCATGAGCTGATAAGCGTGGCGCTTTACCTGCAGCCGTTGTATCACACCCCAACTGCCGCCGATAAGCTGTATAAACGATACGGCGTAGACTACATAATCAAGCTGTGAAGCGATATTGATAACAATCATGAATGCGGGGTAATTCATGCGCGTTCCTCAAGTTGGGCAACGCAACCTGTTGATCTGCAACGTTGCGGCTTGTCCCGCGAGATAGTGAGGGTGTCCTGAAGCTGTGCCACGGCTTGTCCCGCCAGAGGTAGACAGCACATTGAGGAGGTAGTATCCTGGTTACCTTCTTTACACATTCACTCATAAGAATCTCTTCTAGGTTTCAACACCCTCAGTTCCAGTATAGTCAGCCTCTCGTGTCATTCATCTAAGCACCATGTCGTCCTCTTCAGCACGCGTGGTTGATATCCACACGCATATGTATCCCCCCTCTTACATTCAAATACTGGAATCCCGTTCCAACATCCCTCTCGTTCGCAAGTTTCCTCAAGCATCCGATCCTAGGCTCATCCTACTAGAGGCTGAAGTCAAGGCTTTGGAGGAAGCGACACGAGATCCTGACGCGAAGCCTCCTGGTCGACCTCTGACATCTCACTATGCGTCGCTTGCGCAAAAGGTGCACTTCATGGATACGCACAAGATTGACATATCTGTCATATCCCTAGCGAATCCATGGCTAGACTTCCTGGACCCTTCAGAGTCCGGATCGATAGCAGAGTCTGTCAACCAAGAGTTCTCGCGCATGTGCGGCGAGCACCCAGGAAGGCTCTTCTTCTTCGGCACCCTACCTTTGACAGCAAACTTGGATACCATTCTCGAATCGATAAAGTATCTCCCAACACTTAAGTATTGCAGAGGAGTTATCCTAGGCACATCAGGACTTGGCAAGGGCTTGGACGATCCTGACCTTCTCCCCATTTTCGAGGCTCTTGCCCGAGCGGATTTGACAGTGTTTCTACACCCTCACTACGGTCTCCCGAACGATGTCTGGGGTCCTCGGGCGAGCGCCGAATATGGCCATGTCCTTCCCTTGGCTCTTGGCTTTCCCATGGAGACAACCATCGCTGTTGCTAGGATGTACCTAGCAGGAGTCTTTGACAAAGTGCCAGAGCTGCGCATGATCCTTGCCCACAGTGGCGGGACACTTCCTTTCCTTGCCGGCAGAATCGAAAGCTGCATTATGCATGACGGGCAGTTTCTCCGGGAAGGAAAACTTTCCAAGGGCCGTCGAACAGTGTGGGACGTATTAAAAGAGCAGATATATCTTGACGCCGTCATTTACTCGGATGTTGGCCTCAAAGCAGCCATCCAGGCCAGTGGCGCGGATAGACTCATGTTTGGCACCGATCACCCTTTCTTTCCGCCTCTTACAAGTGACGAGCAAGGCGAATGGGAGAGCGTGAGCCTGAACGCGGAGGCTGTTGCTCGTGCAGTTGGACAAGGCACGGAGGACTGTAAGAACGTCATGGGAATGAACGCAGTCAAGATATTGCGACTTGACAGTGAATCATGATTCTAAATGCATGGTATTAGCACAAGATAGAAACGCCTGAGTAGCGTATGGACAATGCTACCGACCTAACTCCAATTCGTTTTCCATAAAGCGCCCCAAATCATGATATAGATGCCTGCTCAGCAAATCGCACTTCAGCCTGGTGAATCCTCGTCTTTGCTTCGAGTAGGCCTTGCTCTGCTTGTTGGTACTCTGCCGGCGTTGCTTGATTCTTTTGCAGGTTTTTGACGGCCTGAACCGCACGCAGCTTGTCACAGACTAATTCCCAGTAAAGTTTCTGTTCCGTGCCAAAATCCACCGAGTAATCTCCTGGCACGTTTATGGCACCGTTGACTGGGCCAGGTGCTGGCTTTCCATCTGTAGCCTCTGCGGCCATTCGCGACTTACGCAGAAACTTCTCCCTCGCCTCATCCTGCTTCTTCTTCTCCTTCTTTTCCTTCAGACGTCTCTTTGCTTCAGCAAGATCCTCGACTTCTTGCGCAGCAGAAGCTTGACGCTGTTCCTCCTCTTCGCGCAGACGCCTTTGTTCGACAAGTCGTGCCCTTTCCTTCTCTATCTCATCCTTCTCCCGTTGCTCCTTTTCTTCTCGCTGAACCTTCCAAGCGTTTTCTCGAGCTTCAAGATCGTCGACTAGAGCCTTGCGCTTCTGATCCATAGCTTCGCGCTCTTGTTTCCGTAGGAGGGCGGCCTTGATGGCGCCGTCGTAGGCACCGCGCGCCCCGGGGTCGGAAAGGATGTCGCGGGCACGTTCGAACTTTTCCCATACTTCTGGGTCGAATTTATCGCCTGCTTTGTCGGGGTGATACTTTAGAGAGCGCTTTCTCCAAGCGCGGTGAATCTCCTCTTTGGGTGTGAGGGCATCGACGCCGAGAAGTTCGTAGAGGTCTTCATCTTTGGAGGCATATTCCTGTGCATATTGCAGCAGGTCGGCTGATTTGGAATCCGACATGTTGGGTCCTGTATTTTCTGGGTGGCTCGTGTATGGTAACCGGAGAGAGCGAGGGGAGAAGAATTTAAAGATTCTAGGTTTCTGGTTCAAGCTTGAACTTCTTGTCGCATCACGAAAGCACGTGACTTTGCGCTTTACAGTTTGTAGCATTAGTATCCAGACGAATTCTATTGAATAATGGCATAGAAAATGAGCGACGTTAAAATTACATATGTAATCTCGTCAAAATTATTAATTAAATGTGTATCTCTTGTTGGGGGAGTTGGCCTTCTAGACTCTTGTCTCTTGACCCAGCTGCCATCATGTCTTATATCCACCTCTTGGGTGCTTACTACATCTCTAAAAGTCAACAGTGTCTGCAAAATGATAAACATTCGGAGTTCCTGCCGACAAGCTGAGCAAGTATCGCTCATAAGGTCCTAGCGGTTCCTCAACCATGACCCGTTGCCTCTTATCAGTCGGGCCATTCTTCTCGCTCCCGATATACTCCCATACCCATCTTCCTTTTGACCAGTCATTGGGATGACCCATGTTATCTTTTGCAGAATGTGGACACCAGCCCGGCTCCTGTGGTACTGGATCGTTGAATTTCTCCCGCGTTCGCTTCAGTTTCCACTTCCCTAGTAACGCTGGGCAGTCCCAGACATGCTCATCATCGAGGCTGAGTCCTTTACAAGCAAGCCGAACTCTCACTGAGCTATGTATGCGCTCGTTCGTGTCCAGAAGATATCTTGACTTGTCGGATTTTGATCTGCGGTCGGTTGGTCTGTATAGACCCGGTGTGCGAATAGTCTGACCAGAAAGTCTATAGAGAATACCTGGTGACTTGTTGATTGATCCAAGTCCCCAAGGCCTGAATGGGCGGTTGTTCTCGTAGATTGGATTCATTGCCCATTGGCGTGATTTCTGCTTCTGCTTCTTCTTCCTCGATTTGATGCTTAGTTTTGAGGGAGTCTTGTGATAGTACTTGACATTTTGCACGAAGCAGCGCTCTAGAGAAGGCAGATCAAACTCGACGCCAATAGAAGCCAATTGGTCCATCATCCCTAATACTTGATTAGCATAGATTTGATATGGCATGTTGAAGAAACGTACAGGCAAGTGTGCAGTTAGCAATGCCTTGATCCTCCCATCCACCACCAATATTACCGTGGTTACCAGGGAACCAGACCTGCCTCAGATCCGTTGTATATCGGTTCTCGGGGAGTCTCTCCCATACTGCTGGTTGAAAGGGTGGACGAGTCTCATCCAGGGCAAGAGCTTGGAAAGCGTGCTCTATTCTGTCTGATAGATTTGTGTCATGCCACTTAAACGTGCTAAGCTAGTCAGTCTTGGCTTGGTATACCTAGGAAAGGGGGAGACTTATTCGTCATTGTCAATACGGATTCCGAGTTTATCCAACCAGGCAATCTTGGGGATTCCAAGACTACCAACAGTATCCCAAACACAAACTGCTTTGATTGTGATAATCTCGTCTCCTTGGTCGCGTTTCACGCGAGTATAGCCGAGTTGCTCCAAGCGAGCTCTGTACTTGTCGGCAGCATCTTTTCCTTTTGGTTTGTCAGGAAAAGGGATGTTAGGGAATGGGTCTTCGTAATCGTCGTCCATCCAATGTTGCATATCCTTGAAAATGGGATAGAAGAACTCGACGCCTTCACGAGTAAGAAGACCGAGGTTGCCTATCATGCCAGCCACAGAGCGGACTGTAAATGCACCTCTTGAGAATCCAACAAGGATGATTTCGTCGCCATCCATATAGTTGGAACATATAAAAGAATATGTTTCCCTCATGCGCTGTGGGCAAAGTTTAGTTAACATTATCCATTTCTTTGTCGAGTTCATACATACCTCAGCAAGACCCTGTCCGAAAGCACCTCCAGTGATACTGTCGAGCCTATTGCTACCTGTGCCAACTCCTGACTCGTAGTTGACAACCTGTAGCTTTCCATCATTGCATCTCTTTTCAAAGCAACGCGAGATACGTGTGACGTTGGAAGGGGTTTGAAGAGAGCCCTCTTTCTCGAACAATCCAGGCTCTTCGTATCCTTTGTCACTGTCCATCCACGTTCCATCACAACAAGCAATCAATCGCTTGACCGTTTTTGGGATGGGTTCTGTAGTCATAATGGCAGTCAATAAGAGAAGAACAGTTGGTTCCGCGACAACTTGCAGGCTATATATGGCTTTTTAAATATTAGAAAATGAGAGAAACGGCTATGAGGATTCAGAAATGCATTACAGAGGCGTCAAATGTCAGCTTTGAAGCCTTTTACCATTCATGAGATTAATTAAGCGACAGGCCAAGACTTCCCCCTGTTCTCCGTCACAACATGACAGGGCTGACGGAGGTTTTACGAGATTAAACACTTTTCTGAGCGACGATCCAAGGCTAAATAATAAGCTTGCAGTCGTATTTCTTACATTCAATTGGGTAAACATAACTCGGGTCACATATATTCGCTCTGCATTCCGCGAATGAACTTGTTTGCTTTGGCCCTCGTGTTGCAGGCAGAAAGAAATATGGCATAGTTGGGGGCTGGCTCAGCCTATTGCTGACAACCTGCATAGGGGAAAATATAGCGACTTTTCAGCCGTTGTCATAGGGCTGATTGCTTATGGTTTGGGAGCCTTGTTAATAATCGCTCTACTCTGACCTGACACATGCAAAACATATGGCATAGCCACAATATTTCAGAAAGGCTACATTAAATCCTCATCAATGACAGTATATCGCCCGGAAATCCTATCATTGTTTGTAAATCGGCTGTGTATGGCTGCGCCTTGGTACAGGTACTGTCATATAGATATAAAATTCTTCTTCAAGATATATTTTACAATGATACAATATAGTACAGCACGGATCCATACCTGTCATACTCTACTTTTGATGCCTTGAATTCTCAGCATCAAGCCCCTTCCTCAACCAATCCGGTACAAAGGCCTTAACCTTGACTCTATTTCGGTCCTCCTTCTCGCCCCAATCCAGCACGAACTCGTCCTCGGGGTTGAATGCCCCTGATGCCGCATCGCCCGGCAGTGTAACGTCAGTCATGTTCTCCAGACGACACAACCCAAGTCCAATGTTGCCCACGCCCTTGAGCCACTTGCCAGCGCTGCGTCCTCGCTTCTCGAACCGTCCAATGCTTGTGTCCCGCGGTATCATGTCCGCGGTCACGCTTTCGAGAGATGAGGCTGCGCCGTCGGCGTGGTATTGCAGTGTTGTTGGGGGTGCATGTTCCTTCTCGTAGACTACACATGGCAGAATTCGCTTGCGAACTACACCGCGGTGTCTTGTGCGAATTGTGAGTTCCTGGCCGACATAACAACCCTTGTGGAAGTCAATACCGTGCATGATATCCATATTTGTTTCCTGTGGAAGAGCATGCTCTTTCGAGATCTCATCTTGTCCTTCGGGAATGCCACTAAGATAGCGTCGTATTGTGTAAGCTTCCTCGGTGGTCTTTTCAAGGTCGGCTTGCGGCGTGTTCTGGTCCAGTTGCAAGAGTCGGTATCCCAATCCTGGTGCTCGTGGATCTTGTAGAGACAGGTTTGTCGACTTGACGATTAAATCCCAGTTCACAGCATTTGAGTCATCCCAAGCATGCCAAACAGACGCTTCGTCCTCACCCAGTAAACGCACTGTGAGCTTCGCTCTGAGCTTATAACGCTTGATGTGCTTAGCCAGCGTCTGCGCGTGGCCTGCGTCAACCTCAATCAAATATGCCGGGTCTTCGGATGAGAACCCCGGAAAGTTATGGTTAGGATAGACAAAGACATCGTACAAGACTCTGCCTGTAGCAGTCAAGAAAGCCCCATAGAAACCATCAGTCCTCGGCAATCCATCTTTTGTCGTCACATTCGCAGTGATGATTCCCTGTAGGAACTTTGCCGAATCGGGTCCAGTAACGGATATGAGTCGTCGTGATGTCAAAGCCGTGAATCCCGAAGCAGGCGGAGGTGGAGGGGAAAGCAAAGTCGCGAATTGTCGCCGATGTAGCCGATTACCACTGCGACATAATGATATGCCTGGCTGACTATGAGTCAGGATCCTCCGCGGGAAAATTCGCATCTTGACAAGAGTGAGCGAGCGGGTTATAATAAGAATCTCAACCCGTTTCTACACTGAAGAGAGCCTTGAATTGATTTGCGAAAAGTTACATAATGACGTACCGACAGAGATATGGTCCGTGCACGTTTCTTCTGAGCCCGCCCGGATGACTTACACTCAATAAGATCCGCGGACTTCGGAGTTTCGGAGGCTTTAGAAGCAGAACAGACCCAAGATCTACACTTGCATCATCCAAAACTCCCAAAGCTTATTAGGCGGAAGAGTTTGTTATCATCTTGCTATTCCCGGCCACACGGAAGAGGAGGTGAAGGACCGCTATGGTTGTCAGCATCAACAACCAACAAGACCACTCTCTACTATGTGTTTATGCTGACTAGAAGGACTAAAATGTAGACAAATATCGACGCTTGAACCAGCCAAGAGATAGTGCTTAGACAATGCCTCTCCGCATTATGAATGTGACCATGCAGACTTGATTAGAGTAGCCCATTACTCGCCGTATCCGCGGAGTAGAGGTCAGCAGCTCACACCGAGAGATAGATAGATAGAGTGTGCAACTAACTATACGATCAGCAGACCCCTACCCTCTATTCGGCATATTCAAGGCGTCGGCATTGACGGCTTCACTGAACTACTGTAGACTTACTTATCATGCTTGTTCCCGGTAAACAAAGTCCTCTGTGCCAAGAACCCCTCGGTAAGAAAAGAAACATGTCCGCCTCGGTCACACAGGCCCAACTTCCCCAGACTTTTAGTTGCTTTCGTTCTTCAACACCCGAAACCCCTGTAGCTGTAGCGTATCAGTACTGACGAGCCAATGAGGCTTCTCTTTGACTCGTTCCTGGTGTCCGATATCCGGACCCGGGTATGGTCGGGTACTCGGGGGGGAGAACGCGGAAGCTTGTGGGTCATGAAAGGTCTCATGACCCGACCTGAACAATTGGAGGACCGGCCGATACGACGTCCGTGATACCGTATCGGACCTTGTGTCGATTTTATCGATAAGGTAAGTAGCATTATACTGAACCTAGCATTATACTGGAGAACCTAGGCTTGCGCATCAAGTTACAGATCTGATACAGTGAACACGCAACACAACACAGCATAGCCCCAGCCCCATGGATAACAATGCAATGCATGCAATACAATGGATCTATGAATAATCGGCATAATTATTGCTTGCGCGTATGTTACGAGTTTCTACCAACTCATCATCGTTCGATTAATATCATTATTCGTGCCTAGACACTAGAAGCACAAGTCCAGGGGCATAGTACTACTATCTATAGAGCACCTGCTTCATCGGTATGTACGCGTATACCACATCGATAACCAAAAAAACAGGGGGCTATGGCCTTATCAATCTTATGATCACAGGAACACAGATCACATCTAGAATCTCATCAACCCCAGTTTTCGTATTCATCTCCCAACCCCCCTTCAACCCTAGAAAAGATCTACTTTTAGCTTAACTGGCACTGGTTGACTTCCGAACACGAATATCAAATCAGATATGGCAGTAGTTGTTGAGAAAGGAGCTATGCATAAAATCATAGTAAAAACGATTGCCAACAAAACCTACTAGACAAGTTCGCTTAGGCATGAAGTTTGACAATTCACCCTTTACCGCCCTTTACAATCGTCTCTGTCGAGCCCATCTACACCAAAGTAATATCTGTGGTGTAGGGGCTGGCTGGACACTTAACTAGGGCTACTCGACTAGGCGCATACGTTCCGTTTCCCCAGCTCCGTCTAGAAAATGTGTACCGGGCCAGGTCCCATTGCTTCTGGGGGCGGCTGTTGTCTGCGCTGCGCTGCCAGGTCAGCCCATCGGTGAGCAGCGACACGCCCAAGCGGTCAGTAGCCAATTCACCCTTCAGCAACGCCAACAAACATGCCCTTGCATGATAGTTACGGTAAGACAGGTGTATGAAGAGTATGTGCCTGGGATTATGGGGCCGGAAAGGCTAAGGAAAAGCCAAGATGGCAATAAACACTCCCTAGTGGACATTGACTTGGAAACGTGTCTATCGTCGGGAGGATTGAGACGAATGAAAAAGAAACTTCATGTCCTTTGTGCTTCTCTGTGCCGTCCCGCTTTGATCCTGATCCATTATGATCCATCCAGACAGACACGAAGGAACCCATATTGGGTCGGTCTGTGTCTGTCTCTGCCCAGTCTAACAAACGAATGGAGTCACGTCCCATCGTAAAGAGTTTTTTTAAACAATTAAATTGAAATGTGAAAGCGGAGTTTTGTGAATCCATCCAAGTCATCCATCCAACCCACGCCCCTTAGGACTTTTTATTATGTGATGGGGCCAATCCTGGTTTGTGATTCACGATTTACATACAGAGTATAATCGTTCTCTTTCTAAAAAGAAATTTTCAGCCTCTTCCCACTTTAGATCCAGTTTTTGACTCCATTTACCGGCTCGATGCAGCGCATGGTGGAGAAGAAAGAATCATGAACTACTAAGTTAGTGCTTCAAATCCAAGCATGTGCAAAAAAAGGCCAAGCAAAATCTCATGTAAAATATCAATTGTTGGGCATGGATTGAAAATGCTCTGACGACTCCGCCAAGACCTAACAAAGTCGGGGAGGCAACGGCAGCGCAAAAGCAAAGCAAAGGGCCAAAAAGGCGGACATGAGCGAAATGACGGCGGTTTCGCCATGTCTAATCTTATTGCCTTCCTTCTTCTTTTCTTTTTGCCAATTTGGGTCACGACCTTGGTCTTTTTTGCGCCCTGGCGTTGACGTTGCCAGCCATTTCTTTCTAGAATATTGATTTTACCATTAGGGCTTTTCTTTCTTTGTAAGCTCCGAAACAATCGGACTTTGTCATAACCAAGTTCTAAGAGAGCCCAGTCATACATGCGGAGTGTGGAAAGAAGAAGGACTTGTATTTCCGCTGACAAAACTTCCAACCGTTGTGTCCCAATATGAATCGTGTACGAGTCGTGATTCGCCATCTTCTTGACCTTGACCCTGATGGGTGGGACGTCAAGGTCTTGTCAAAGACTTGAACTTGAGTTTTCATGATGGAGCGGGCCTCGCTGATGAATCATTCGCCAAGGGTGTTGGTCTAGTGTTGCACGCCTTTGATTCTGTGCCGCTTGTTGGTCCAGAGACAAGACAAGAAACACTCCCCCCTTCGATCGGCCTTGGGTTGAGCCCGATCCCGATAAACAAATGGTCAAGAGTTTTCGCCGCTGATAAGGAATCCCGGTGACTATCGGTGGCCGGACAGTAATGATATGGCGTCAATGCCGGCCACTATGGGAAATTCCTGGCCCGAGGTTAATGTTAATGTTACGATACCAAAAAAGCATGAGATTCACAGTTTGTCAAGATGAAGAGATTGTTTTTGAATGTTTTATCATTTGTTTTTAGACTTAATTAAAAGTCTGTTTTTGAACTATCTATCTGATCGGTTGCCACTCAACCTTCTAGTGGGAGCGGCACCTAACCATGATGTGATCCAATTCCTCATTGCCTGGTACAATTCTGTCTTTCTTTATTCCTTCAATAGTGGTAGAGTGGTGAAAATCCGTAAAAGTCGTATCCTTTAAATATGATAAAAAAAAAAAAGGCTTTTTTTGCTGTATCCCAAAATCCCGTTGTGGTATCCCTTTGTATAACAAAAAACGCCAGTGTAATGCCCGCCATATCGCTTTGTGTATAAAACAAGTCGCTAAAGAAAATCACAATTCATTCATAAGACGCAGAGTCAGAGTAAAACCCCTTGCTTTAGTAGACCGAGATGGCCGACACAAGCCTCGCGGGACTGCGAGGTGGAAGGTAGTACTCCTCTTCGTAGAGTGAGTTGGATTCTTGTTGTTGTTGCGATTGCTTCTTGGCGTCCTTCTCGTTGAATGTGAGGATTGCTTGAGGAGGCGATGGGGGCATTGAGTCCTCGTCGGAAGAGTCTGAGTCGTGATCAACAAGCTCGGGTGGTGAGCTGGAGTGGGAAGGTGTTCGGACAAGCTCGAGCTGAGCGTAGTCCTCCTCGAGGTCATCCTCCTCCATGTCGTCTTCGATCTCGATGTGGCTGATTCGGGGGCTCATGGCCTTGGTGGGAAGAGAGGGAGTGTTGGACATCTCGATGTCCTCATCGTCAGAGTCGTAGTCGTCAGAGTCAGAAGAGTCGGAGTCGTAGTCATCCTCATCCTCCTCCTGGACGACCTCATCGGCCCACTGCACTCGTCGTTCTTGTTGGGTGTTATTGGCTCCTCGGACGGACTGGTTGAACCAGCGTTCTTGTTCACGCTCGGCATCGGCAAGCTCAAGCATCAGAGAGTCGAGGAGGTTGGCGTGACCGACGAGAAGGCGAAGGTCGTGGTCAGGCTGGGCAGCCTCTCGAGAGAGCTTGGCCCGAGCCTTGTGAGCAAGGTAGTAAGTTTGTGTGACGGACATGTTCTTCTTGAGTGTGGACTGGCGAAGAGAAGAAGTTGTAGTTGTCGACATTGTGAGTAGAGGATCCAGGGTGTATATATGTATGTTGTGAGTCAAGGCAACGATCCCGATTGCGGCAGGCTTGAATTAGCGGCCGGGGTGTGTTCGGTGGTGACAATGGCTTGATAGATTGTGTGATAAGGGACTAGTACTATGAGTCCTTGGTAGTAGATAAGATGAAACAGACTGTAAAAGCCAAGACTGTGGAGAAGATGTGATGATCTTGTAAATCTTTGGTTAACTGTCGTTGTTGTTGCTGTTAATGATGGGAGACGAGATGGATCTTGGAAGGGGGGGAAGCGAATCTTTTAACTCGAGTTGATCCTTTACGGACTTTTCACCTTGTCTCAAGCTTCCAAGGGCGTGGGCCATGGGGATTACCAGTTATGCCCGACACGCCGCTTGGCGGACTTTGCACACGCGGACCCGAGGAGTGCGAGAAATGTCCTGACAGGGGTATGGACTCAAAGGGGGGTGTGGCTTAGTGATCGGTTGACAAGGATGAGGTTATGGTGTGGGTGAGCGGATGACTCTTGGTCACCGCGAAGCCGCGAAAGCTTAGAAACCACCGACTCTAACGGTACCTAGATTCTCACATGGTCTCTCTATCCACTGCCATGTGCAGAACACGTATCTCATCGTCTCCGGCCCCGACCTGGCGGACCTTGCGGAGAGCCCATGTCAATGCTCGGCCTTGGGTACTTCGGTCAGGCCGCCAGATTACGGGGTCAGACCAGGTACCTCTCACGCAAAGTGTACCCGAAATGGAGTCGCGTTATGCCTTTATCCTAGGTTTTTGAGGTTTTCTTTTTTCTTATCCTGGGTTTCTTCCATGTTCTGGAGACGACGCTGTCTCAGTGACTGCAACTTCCGTGTCTTCTGATACCAGCCTTCCAATTCGATTGACCATAGCCTCAAGCGATGGACTCGTTCTTCTCAATCAATCGAACGAATGGCGCAATTCCAAACACCGAACCAAAAGCCAACTCAGCACAACTCAAATTGAAGCGCTGTAAGCATACCTACTGAATAGCAGACAATCTCACACATGGCTGGCGTAAAATGATTCATAATCGCAGTAGGTGGTTGATTAGCAACCCTGTGCCTTAGTGTGTCATTCTACCCAATCAGACTTGTTTGTTCGTACATGTCCTCTTAGCTCCGAGGGCGGATTTACAAGCATCGCCCTTCTGAAATGTTCCCTACAGCGAGATGGAGGCTTACATTTAGACCTAACGCAGGTGCGATTTCTCAGCACCCCAGTACAAACCGTAAAGTTTAATCGTTGATGAGTCGTTGTCGTTATTACGCCCTGTCGGTGTTTAGAGCTTGACAGACTCCGACACGGCGGTGACTCTTTTTGCACGATAAATCAATGAATTTCCTACTTGGGATAGCTACTGGATGACTCTTTTCTTTTGCAGGCTCGGCAACAATATCAAAAAAACCAAACAGCAATGTTGATATCCGTAGAGTCCATCAATTCCTAATTCAAGACATTCCCCTGCGTCCTGTGCCTGTGTTTGTGCTTGTGCTTGCTAGCCGTCCGTCCCATCTATTCAAAACCTGATCCCCGTTCCTGTCACGATGACAAGGAGGATGACCTCCCAAAAATGTGAACTCAAATACCTACCTTTACTAATTGCTGAGGCCCCCCCCTACACTAGTATCTAGGCATGTCAAATCACATATCGCATCACATCACAGTAAACACTAAGAAATAAAACCAACGCTTATGAATTGACCACTGGGCAGAGCCAAGCTCACGATAATATTACAGTGTGCACCCTTTTAATGTAGGGCAGTTTCACACAGCGGCCGACTTATAACCTCCGCATTGTGTATCCCCTATTCGCTTCGCATCATGTACCCTTGCTGAAGCCTAACTCCGCCTCGATCGCTTGTCAAGCTGTCATTAGCCAAGCCTGTCAATATTCCTGCAAAAGGGATAGCAAAGCGAGAGCGAGCAACCACTGATAGCTCACAGTATCCGGGGTCATGGCGCAGTCCGCGGGCCACATCTTAATACGTGTGAACGTACGTATCACTTGTAATTTGTAGGGCTGAGGTGAAGTTGACCTCCTCCTCGCTGTATGCACCGGGTTTGAGCTAAACACCGAGTTATGCTTTGTACGTACGGACCAATGGTTGGCGATTGATCGCCGTCATGTTCCTCAACCCAAATGATAACAAGTCAAGCTTACACAGCCAGGCTTTTTGCTACAGTCAACACCGTCGTGGCTTATCAGGTTGCTATGAAGATTCTGAAGCTGTCAGTAACCAGGCAACTTAATTCCGCTTTCGTCGCATAAGGAATTATCCCACGATCCCATCGGCGTTGCTGGGCCATTTGTCTTTGACGACTGCCTGTCTCTACGGGTAATCGTTAGGCATCTCTCAATGCTGCGTTAGTTTCCAGGCACGCAATTGAAGCCTGTTTCCACATCCTTGTTCAGTTCTGCAAGTGCCGTGTTGGTAGAGTAAGTAACTTTTCACGATATGATCCGACTACCCGCAATAGTCAATATTCGTGATGGCAGCCAAAACTCAGCCGACTCGGATACGCGGCTTTGTCAATCGGTTCAAGTTGATGCCGAATCTTACCTTACTTGACAAGAGGATAATGTCCACGTTATTGCCGAATCATCAGTGCGGATTCCCGAGTTCACCGAGCTAACACTTCTGGGTGTGTCTCCGCAGGCACGGTTTTTACACGGGATTGGTATTGACACAAGAGTCACCTTTTTTTTTCTTCTC